TGAGTAAAACCTTCGGCTTCGATTTCCAACCTAGACTTTTCGAGAGCAACAGTCTTGAGAGATTCTTCCTTCTCTGCTAGAAGTGATTGTAAATGCCGCACTTGTGCTAACAGGGAAGTGCTAATTTCTGTCGCGAATTCGATATCGTGTACCCTATTCGCAGGTTGATTTCGCTGCTTTCGACTGGGAACACTGAACTTGGAAGGAGAAGCAGTAGCAGTTGTATGACTTTCGAATTTGGAAGGGCTTGCGGAACGCTACATTGTGTTAGTAATGGTAAATTTGATGTAACCATGAATCTATCTATACCTTATCAGTAAAAGGTGACGATCCCATCTCGCTGCTGGGTACTCTTGACTTTGGTAAGAAAGCTCTAGCTGTCTCCCTTCCAACTTCATTATATTCTCTCTCAATATCAACCAATTTCTGTCGCAACTCTGGTGTAATATCTCCTTCGCTCTGCTGTTTCTCAACTTCCTTCAGGCGCTCTCCCAAATCTTTTCTCTGCTGTAAAAGGGTTGTACCGAGGTTTGAAGCCTCCTGTATTCTTCGTTCCGTCTCTGCTAGATGTGCTTCTAGTGCTCGTTTAGCTTGTTCAGGAGATGTTGAAGGGCCAAGCGCAAATAGTTGTTTATCGAAATGAGAAAAACGGTGGCCGCTCAAAACCGAAGGAGGAGACAAGAATGGATCATTGCTACTGCTACTATCTCCAGCGTCGGACAGTATTGACGGGTGATCCATTGCCAGAGAGGTCGACATTATGGTGACCGCAATTTTAATGTGTGAGAAGGAATAGAATAATTCTCAATTAAAGACAAGTCTTGTAGATTGAGAAACCCTCTGCGCCCAGGTAGGACTTGGGGCCCCTCGAAAGGTACCGGACTAATTCGTATTCGTAGATCGGAGGAAACAAATGCGGTACCAAGTCTAATCTGTCCGACGAGAATAAATGAGGTTGTACAACAGATAGGGTGATTTGTAGTTGTATAAGTAGGAGTAGGAGTAGAGTAGAGTAGAAGGAGTATGTTGTATGTTGTATGTTGTATGTTGAACCAGTTTAGTCTGATCTTCGATTTGTTGATCGGGGAACTTGAGCAATCTTGGGGAAGCCAGGGGCAAGAGGTTCGCGTGTTGATATATGATCGGTGCCGTACGGATTTGAACCGCCTGGGTACAGAATATTGGGGGGTTTCTTTTTTTTGCTTATCTTGACGCGACTAAAGTGGTAAATGTGCAGTAAATCCAGCAAATCCAGCAAATCCAGTAACTTTAAATCGTTTATTGGTACCTTGATTTCAATGGTACGGATAGCAGTTGAAGAATAATAGTCAAAGCGATCAGTTTGGAAGAAGTTTAAATAAAGGTATCGTATCTTGGGACTGGATGAAGAGGAGGAAGTGGAAAAGAAGGGGAAAAATTAATTAAGTAGGAAAATAATGAGTGGACTGTGTTGTATGAACACGAAAGATCACAACAGAGAGAGGTGAGGATGTAAGCTCTCTCTCTCTCCCAGTTGAATGTTGTGGTGGTTCGAGGGGGAGGGATGAGAGAGGTTCAAGTTCATAAGTTCTTCTCGCTTCACTTCAATCCAGAGTCAAAACTCATGACGGTCAAGGATCCAAGAGTAGAGTGAAGTCTAAGTCTTGAGTGAATTTAGTTCGAAGATTGGCCCGGTACCCAGGGATCTCTAGCGTTGTTTTATGTTTATGCATTTGTTTGTTTTCTTTCTTTTCTTTCTTTTCTCTTGTGTTTATTGATTCCAGCTACGATAGGTGGGTGGTAGGTGGGTGTAGGTGGTAGGTGGTAGGTGGTAGGTGGTAGGTAGTAGGTAGTAGGTATTCAATCAATCAATCAATCAATCATTCATTCATTCATTCATTCATTCCTTCATTCACTCACAGTCACCTCATCCACCTACCTCCCTGGGTATGCGACTCCTCGCAGCCAATCACACCCCCAGATGTTGCCAATTGATTGTTGTCAACAGCCTCATAACCCAGTGGAACAATGCGATAGGAACTCTTCTTTACGTGTATGTTTCCACTTATGCTGTTCATAAGCAGATGGACAACACCCAAACGTCAGGAACAACAAAGCAATCCAAGTATATTGATTGGCTTGAAGATAAACAACGCGTATCAAAAATCAAAATCACAACCATAACCCAAATCAAAATAGCAACGGGGGATAGGGCAAACCTATCCATGACAAAAAGACGTATCGACCAAACAAAGTGTTCCTGAGCTAAAGAGGGGGAAGTGTCAACTATCGGAAAGGCTTGCATCAAAGTTTGCATAAGAAACTAAAATTATGATGAGGATTCCATCTTGTTCCGAGTGATGTTTTCCCAGTGCGGCACTCGAATACTTGGGATGAAAAAGAAAGTTATACCTTATTGCAAGCTACTCCCTTGTATCAAATCGAGGAGAATTGCTGAATCTCACGAAATCAATCTAGCTACGGGCCGACACTCTTACAACGTTACCATTCGATCATTCGATGGCATTCGGGATCCATCGTCTAGGATCGCACTTGAAGAAAAGCTATCAATTCTATCCTTGGACATTAGCGGGAACACCAGGAACTCCCAAATGGAAGGTTCCAAAGCTTCCCGAGGTCTTACGAATCATGCCTGAGGCTGTGCACGGATAAGGCTGATTACCTAATCACTTGGCTTGATAAGCTCCAGCTTTGACTTTTCGTAATTTCTCAGCCTTTCGTAGATAATAAATAGACAAACTCACTCATCACTCAAATATAACAAACATCATCAACTGATCTATCAATTGACTTCATCATTAACTTCATCAAAACTCAACACATTTTAGAGAACAAATAATGGATAATGCCGAACCTTCTACCGCTCCTCCAAATCCTCCACAACCAGTAGCTATATTCAAAAAGAGATCAGCAAAAGGGAAATCCACTTTCCGCAAAAGAGCTGCAACGCCGCCACCTGCAGATAGCGACGATGATACATCAGGGTATTCTTCATCAGAAGATGAAAGTGGTCGACGAATAAAACGAAGAAAGAAGAACACGGGCGCCATAACCGCATCATCTACAAATAATACCTCATCCACTCCCTCCGATCTCTCCGCAACAAAATATACCGCATCCCACAGCACTGTTATCCGCGCCTCTGACGATGCAACTAGAGCTAGTAATTGGTATGATGAAAATGCGACAGATGCTCTCTCTGCCAAGAATCTGCTAGGCACCTCGCGCTCGAAACCCTCCACAGGAGATATCCCAGATGGAACATACAAGGGCTTAGCAAACAGCACAAAATTCATACAAAAGAATCCCGATGCCCCAAATCGCGTCGTAGGACCCGTCAAAGCACCAACCAATATCCGCACTATAACTGTCACAGATTTCGCGCCAGACGTATGTAAAGATTACAAAACCACTGGATTTTGCGGATTCGGAGATAATTGCAAGTATCTACACGCGCGAGAAGACTATAAGGCAGGCTGGCAACTCGATAAAGAATGGGAAAATGTAACGAAAGGAAAGAAAACTTTAGGAGGAACGAAAATCGCAAGTGCGGATCGCAAAGGAGATGAGGAAGAGGAGGAAGACGATGCGTTTTTGGAGAACATACCCTTTGCGTGCATACTGTGTAGGGAGAAATATAAGGACCCGATTATCACAAAGTGTGGACATTATTTCTGTGAGAGCTGTGCGTTGAAGAGATATAGGAAAGATCCGAGCTGTGCGGCCTGTGGGGCGGGAACAAGTGGTGTTTTTAATGTGGCAAAGGGGTTGAAGAAGATATTGGATAAGAAGAGGGAGAGGGCGAAGAGAATTAGAGAGGAAGCTATTGCGAATGGGGAGGAAGTTAGTTCGGAAGAGGAAGAGGAGTGATGGCATTATATCTATGTTATGTTGTCATCAAGCGCATATGCTACGATTATCCAGACAACTTTGGAAATAATGCAACTCCTGAATATGATGCACAGATGTGATCATAGAGCACAACAGTACAAGAACGAAAAATTAATCTGAGAAGCAGGGTGTAGATATGCAAACATAGCAGCAGGCGAAGTCCAACAGCAGAAATTCAAACAGATAATAATGTATATGTACTAACTAGACTAGGTCTAGTAGTCTAGCAAACAAACAGTCAAAGGATCAATGGATGAATGAATCAATAAATCCATGTAGTCAAATTCATCGGAATTTAAAACTCTTTCTTTTTTTCCATCTCCTTCATGCCATCCCATCCTTTCAACTCCCTTCTCTTCACTCTTCTTCTTCTTCTTCTTCCTTACTTTTTCTCTTTCCTATCTTATATCCTCTCCCCCTTTCTCCTTAACTCCTTTATATCCAACTTCTTTCTCTCTTTTTCTTCATTTTTATAACCTTCATATCACCCCCTCACTTCTTCCCTCTCACTCCCCTCCTTCACACCACACCACACCACACCACACCACACCCCCAAACCCATCAAAACACCAACGAAGTCGTCGGACAAGGCAGCGCAACCGTCCGCCACTCAGTCCCACACGCCCCATTATCACACGTTGTTTTGCAACCTGTAGTTTTTGATCTTTGTCAGTTTTATTCTTATGTTTTTTGAGGGGGTTTTGGGGGAGTATTGTGTGTGTGTGTAGGAGAGGAGGGGGGGTGAGATGAGATGAGATGAGAGGGTTATGAGAGGGTTATGAGAATGAGGGGGTGGAGATATAGGGTGGAGAGGAGAGAAGAAGGAAAAAGAGAAGAGGAAGATAGATGAGATGAACTGAAATGAAATGAAATGAAATGAAATGAAATGAAATGAAATGAAATGAAATGAAATGAAATGAAATGAAATGAAATGAAATGAAATGAAATGAAGTAGGGAAAGGGCTTAGGAAGAGAATGATTGGAAGAGAATGGAGTGAATGGAGTGAATGAAATCGGGAAATAAGAGAGGGGAACAGAGTAAAAGTGCGAGAGGAACAAAAGAAGAAAGTCAGAAAGCAGGTCACAAAAAGAAAGAAAAGGGGAAAAACTTACGAGTCGCCGTCCCAATCGAACCGCCACATCCACAGTTTATCGTTACGGTAGAGAGGTATATACACTATTCGACCACGTGGTTGGTTAGTTTCTATTGCCTTCATCTCATTTCCTTCATTGCAATTTCCTTCATATCATCTCATCATCTCATCATATCATATCCGACAACAGAAACCCAATTGATACTTCATTCCTTCATTCCCTAAACCCCTCATTCCCCAAAATCAACCCCCCAAAAAGAGAACAGCAGAAGGAAGAAAAAAAAAACTCACATCAGGACTTGAACACGGTCCCCCAACAACCGGCGCACACGAATCTCCTTTTGTAACCGTGATACTTTCACAACTAGGAGTTGGAGTGATAGTTGTTGGGACAGTAATGACGGTTGTAGGGGTGTGGATTGGACAGGGGAAGATGCAATTTGTAGGGTAGGGGGGATAGTAGGGACAGGAGCAGGTGACGAGGTTGGAAATTGTTGTTGATGTTGGTGGGAGATTTGTAGTTGTGGGAGCAGAAGGGTCGCTGGTGATGGTGGTGGTGGGGGTGTGGATTGGACAGGGGAAGATGCAATTTGTAGGGTAGGGGGGATAGTAGGGACAGGAGCAGGTGACGAGATTGGGGGTCGCGGTGGGAAGAGTTTGAGTGGTGATGCTTGGGGTGGAGGTAGGAGTGTGGACTGGACAGGGCGGATTGCAATAAGTTGGGTAGGGAGGATAGTAAGGACAGGAACAAATTGTTGAGCCACCCGTTGGTGTTGTGAGAGATGTTTGCGAGTCGATTGTGGGGTGGGGGTTGTGCTGGGAGTGGCGTAGGTGTCGATTGTAGTGGAACAGGATGTTTCATGGTAGATTTGATTCCCGATGTGACAAGTTTGCGAACAGGCAGAGGGACATGGGGTGTAGAGGGTGGTTGTTGGTACGGAGTAGGGACAGGTGCAGGGAACTGTTATTAAGGCATCTGAGATGCAGAAGTTTTGGGAGCAGGATGTTGGAGTTGTCTGGAGATGATTTGTATGAGCGAAACCAGAACTTTTATGAGAAAGGGGGGGGAATTGTTTTGGTTAGGTAAAGATATATGGGGTTAGAAGATGAGCTTACTGGTGGACATGAGGTATGAGAAGTGGAGATGGTGATAGTTGGGCAAGGTGATGAAGGAGAGATATATGTAGGAATGGTTGGAGTGAGGGTGCACGGGTTGACTGTGACCGTTTTGATAGATGGTTTGGAAGCTTTAGCCAGATGAAGGACACTGTGGCAAGTTATACTATCAGTTGACTGAATGTGAACAACGTCAAGGAAGGACCTACAAAAAGAAAAGGAAATAGATCAAATTATTCATTGAGTTTGTTTTCGCCATGTTAATCAGAAATCTTTGGAATAAAGCTCTTACAAGCCAACACCTTTTCAGTTATCTAAAAACCAAAACCCTTCAACAAGAATATTCCATGACTTTATATCTGCCCTCACCCCTCACCGCAGCACCCCGTATACTTTAATTCAGCCCTTTTCTACATACGAAGAGGACTGCGGGGTAAATCATAATCTAAAGCAATCTTCAGGCAAAAAGCGTGCAGCGTTACAATTGTCAGACGGTAGACTACAACTTGTGGGGATACGAGGTAAAACATGTCTTGGCTACTTGACCGAACAGAAGGGCCTCGTCTAATTTCTTGAGTATGAAAAGTAGGCAACCTCAACATGTACAATCTGTGTCACTTGCTGCAAGGGGTACTGACTTGCAGCATTTTTTAATGAGGAAAATCTTGAAGGTTTCTGAGCCATGTGATGTCATGAGATATTGGCAGGAACGCGTGAGTTTGAAGTTTCAAAATGCATGGATAAAAGATAATCGCATCTATAAATCTGTGGAGTGAGATGTGGTGAAGATCTTGGCTGCAGATTCGTATCCATAACGCCACATGGGAACGTATGTGAATCAGATGTTCCTCCACAAATACCTCATAGATTATACGAACGCCGATTAAATGTTACACTTAACATACATTTGCATGAATGGGGCTCAGCAGGTATCTCACATCAAATACAGGTCGAAACTTTTCTGATCGTATTGAGAATTTAGGTTGAAATATGGATCCATAGCTCAAGACCTCTTACACCTGGATGTCGGAGTTCTAAAAAGACTGTGAATTTTTTATCTCTGAAGAGGAGAGCGAGATATGGAAGTCTATTGACAAGTACCATACTCAGCCAGCCAAAGTTCGTTTCTGAAAGCCGGTTCTTACCACAAGTATGCTAGAGTCCTTGCACGAGTGATTTCTCGTACCGGTTTCGGATACTATTTGCTTTGAAGCCAAACGACATTCCACATAACCACGTCTCGGGTTTTGAGCAAATGGGGCTCTTTCCAGCTCAATATTCTTCTGGTAAAGATATGGTTCGGTGTATGACTGAAGTAATTGATCTACAGATGTTAGAAACATTGTGGAACAACGTACCATCTTCTTGACATCGTCTGTAGAGAAAATGTGGTAATAGGTTTCAACATGAGTCCACTAGCGATGAGTCCCTTAGGATCAGATTCAACACTATGACGTTGAAGGTGAACAAGCAGATCACATTTATATGAATAATCTGTCAGATTAAAGCTCTCCGAGAATATACTGTTTGTAGGAAGCCAAGTCTCGAGCCAGCAAGTACATATGATAAGGCGATAAGGCTAGAGGAAGCTCAGACCATCTCGGCATTGGAATTAGATTAGGACGATTCACACGTGGGATTTGGGTGCGTGTGGCTCGGGACATATTTTCACGTGCTGCCCAAGGGTAAATCATAACTATGAAATGCGGCCCGGAATATAGGGTAAATGGACAATGATACCTAGGTAGGTAGATGAACAGTAATTGATCGCATGCCTTTTTGGGATTGTTGACAAGGTATCGGTAGATGAGCCAATTTCAATATTTCAATATTGTATGACTACGCAAGAGAATAGGAGTCTTGAATATCAAATATAAATTCGAGGTTTCGTTTGATATTTATTATATGGTAAGGACTCTCGATTAGAAACTACCCAGTGCTTGTACGTAAACTCTGTCTTGTACCCATGAACTCCATCGTGGTATTGGTATAATATTGCATCTCATCACCGCTATTTTGTGACTGGGGGTTGTGAACTTGTGAAGGGCTAGACCGAGAAACCGGAATTATTTCAATATCTGAGATACTTCCAAATTTCGATGTAATGATCAATGGAGACGCTCCGCTAGCCCTCCGGGAGCCACTGCCGTGGAGGCAGACTATTTCAATGGGAACGATATGGCAGACTGTGTAAATACATTCGTAAAGGTTTGCTGAAAAAATCAATCAGTCTGTCGATCCAACAAATTGTTTGAGGCAATCTCGGCAACTGCAATGTCTGAAGACCATTGATTGATAGACCAGTGATTGATATTTCTGGAATGCTCGATAATTGTTGGTCTATACCCACCACCCCTTCTGCCCTCGTAGTACGTATTCCATGTCGATGTGGTTTCCAACTGGATGCATAACAAAAGGATCGTAATGAAGAAACAATTGAAGAGAAATTACACAGACAATGCTCCTTCTCATTGCATAATTCAGATCAAGAAATATTTTTCGTTGGAGATCCACTTCAAACAATGCTGGATTGGTAGACAGTGCATTAGTAAGATTTCTAGCAAACCGTTGTCTAGACAAGCTAATGAAATTTTTGGAAAGAGATAGATAGAGTTTCTATGTGATTCTTGTTAGAAATATATAATCGTGATTCTGTCTGTCATGTAAAGATACCTCTACTAGGTACTCACTCTTCTTATTACATACCTTCTCACCTCACATATCGTGGGTTCAATATTCTCCAGACTTCCCACGCCATACCAAACCAAAGCAAATAGTTCAGCTGGAGATCAACATCCCACCCTCACTAATTGATGATGAAATAACTGGTAGGCGCTTAAGGAGGGGTCTTAGGATTTTTTATCTTCCCTCTCTGTAGGCCAAAGCCCTCTGATAAGGATCATAAAGTGTGCGGAGACCAACACAATCCCAGTCTGCTTTGCGTATATCTGGAATCTCTCCTTCCTCCCCTGTGTAACATGATACTGCCTTGAGATTCTGCAGCATCCCCATACATAACGTACTGTTTGTTCTGTTTTCTTCGGTGCCTTACCTAGTACTCGCATTCTCTTCTCCCCTGGCCCCCAACGATACAAGAACGACTTAATACTTGCTAATTTGTGTATGATTGTGCAAATTGAAAAAGAGTTAGAAGAACACTAATAAGCTTCCTCTTCAGTCACTTGTCAAGAGAGAGAGAAACCTTAAATCAACATTAACATCAACGAGTGAATTAAATTATTGAAGCTTTTGAACTTGAATGATCAAGCAATTGGTAGACCAAAGACCATTCATTCACTTACACACTTGCACCTAATACTTCCTTACAAGGAACTTTTTTTCATTCGCTTGCTTTTTTCAGCTAGGCGAATTTGGGGGAACCACAAAATATATTGACACGACAAAACTTCCTCGAATTCTTGAAGTGCTCAAGTTTTTGCGGTTCTCCGAATCCAAGACAAAACCCCAAATTATTTTATTGAGTTATTTTCAATAGATAAGCAAAGATGGATGTTGCCGTCTTGCGAGGTCGTATTGCTTCGACCCTTGATCCAGATGCTGATACTCGTCGGCGCGCTGAACTGGACCTGAAATCAGTAAGCATTCCTAGCAAATTTTATTTCCCTCTACCTCTAACAAATATTTAACAGGCAGAGGAACATCCTGGATTCACCGATGCTCTCCTTGATATTTTACAAGCAGAACAAAATCCTGCAGTTCGGTTATCAAGTATGCAAACTTCTTCGCAATACATACCCCGCTGTTGGCAGATACTAACGCTACATTGCAGCGGTTGTCTACCTTAAGAATCGCGTTACGAGAGCATGGCTACCGAGCGAAACCCAGCCCAAGCCGATGGCCGACGATGAGAAGGCTAGATTTCGAGACCGACTCCTACCTTTCATTGCTTCCTCCCCACCACAAATTCGACAACAACTTGTACCAGTCCTTCAAAAGATTTTACATTATGATTTCCCAGATAGATGGCCTTCCTTTGTAGAAATGACTGTTCAATTATTGAACACAAACGACGCAGCATCAATATTCGCAGGTTTACAATGTCTCCTCGCAATCTGCCGGGTTTTCCGTTTCAAGTCGGGGGAGAATCGCGCAGATTTCGACGCAATCGTGGAAGCCACATTCCCAAGGCTTTTGACAATCGGACAGGGTTTGGTCAATGAGATGAGCGAAGAGGCGGGAGAAATGCTTCATATTGTTCTCAAGGCATACAAACATGCAACATTTGTATGTATTTGTGCTTATTGTTCTGAATATTCCTGAGGTGCTAACAATAATAGTTCGACTTATCTGCCTCATTGCGCGAACATACAGTAGTAGTCGGCTGGTGCACTTTGTTTCTTCAAACAGTCGCAAAAGATGTTCCAGCTACCGCTTTACCTGAGGATGAAGCTGAGAGAGAGGCCAACCATTGGTGGAAGGCCAAGAAATGGTCATACTTCAATTTGAACAGACTCTATGTTCGGTGAGTAATTTGCAGGAAACTGAAAATCATTTCACTAACACTTCTTTAGTTATGGCAACCCCACATCCTTGTCGAAAGGCAACGGAGACGATTATGCCGCGTTCGCAAAAAGTTTCACAGCCAATTTCGCACCCGAGATTCTGAAAGGTTACCTTCAGCAGATCGAAAAATGGGTCGCAAAGACAACATGGCTCAGCAGACCTTGTCTTTCTTATACCTTGGTTTTCCTCGATGAGTGTGTTCGACCAAAGCAGATGTGGGCTCACTTGAAACCACATCTCGACAGCCTTGTCACCCATTTCCTTTTCCCTGTCATGTGTCTATCGCCCGACGATGTTGAGAAATTCGAAACCGACCCAGAGGAATATTTACACCACAAATTGAACTTTTACGAAGAGGTCTCAGCACCAGACAATGCCGCAACCAACTTCTTGATCACACTCACCAAAGTTCGCAGAAAGCACACTTTCACCATTCTTACATTTGTCAACTCGATTGTAAACGAATACGAGGCTGCGGGAGAGGGGCAGAAGAACCACATTGCAAAGGAGGGAGCTTTGAGAATGATTGGAACTTTATCCAGTGTTATCCTAGGAAAAAAGAGTCCAATTGCTGAACAAGTGGAGTATTTCTTGGTTCGATATGTCTTCCCCGATTTCAAGAGCTCCCAAGGATTCTTACGAGCCAGAGCTTGCGACACTGTTGAGAAGTTCGAACAACTCGATTTCAAGGATACTCAGAATCTTCTCATCATATACCGAAATATCCTCGAGTGTATGGCCGATCCAGACCTTCCAGTTCGTGTTGAAGCAGCACTCGCATTGCAGCCTTTGATTAGACACGATATCATTCGCACAAGCATGCAATCAAACATCCCACAAATTATGCAACAGTTATTGAAACTTGCCAACGAGGTTGACGTGGATGCGTTGTCAAATGTTATGGAGGATTTTGTTGAAGTATTTGCGGCAGAATTGACTCCTTTCGCAGTGGCATTAAGCGAACAGTTGCGTGATACTTATTTACGAATTGTTAGAGAATTGTTGGAGAAGAACGAAAAGAGGGAAGATGATGAGTATGGCGACTATTTGGATGACAAGAGTATTACCGCACTCGGAGTTTTGCAGACAATCGGCACTTTGATTCTGACATTAGAGAGTACTCCTGATGTTCTTTTGCACATGGAATCCATTCTGATGCCAGTCATCAAGGTCACGTTGGAAAACAAACTTTATGGTTCGAACCCCCTTTTCCTTTGTCTGTTTGAGACTTGCTTATACTGATAGTCGCAGATCTTTACAATGAAGTTTTCGAGATCATTGACAGCTGTACATTTGCTGCCAAGTCTATTTCTCCAACCATGTGGCAAGCATTTGAGCTCATCCACTCAACTTTCAAGGCTGGTGCCGAACTTTACCTCGAAGATATGCTGCCAGCTTTGGACAACTTTGTACAATATGGCAGTGCTCATCTCGTACAATCACCACAATATTTGGATGCCTTCTTTGGCATGGTTGCAGATATGTTTGCTGATGACAAGGTTGGAGGTGTTGACAAGATTTGTGCATGCAAGTTGGCCGAAGGCATGATGCTTAGTCTAAGAGGTCACATTGATCAATACGTTTTACAATTTGTCGACATGGCCATGAGAACTCTTACAAACACAGATGTCAAGGTCAAGTCATACAAAATCCATCTCATGGAAATGGTCATCAACGCAATCTATTACAACCCAGCCTTGACTTTACATATCCTAGAGCAAAAGCAATGGACCAACAAGTTCTTCAGCTTGTGGTTCGCAAGCATTGATAGTTTTACCAGAGTACACGACAAGAAACTTTCAATCGCTGCCATTGTTTCCCTACTCACCCTCAATGCCGACCAGGTTCCAGTCAGTGTTCAACAAGGCTGGCCTAGATTGTTGCAGGGTATTGTCAGATTATTCCAGACTCTCCCCACGGCCACAATGAACCGTGAGGAAGCTCTGAAAGATGACTTCCCAGGAGATGGTGAGGGATATGATGATGAGGATGAGGATGACGAGTGGGCTGGTGATGATAATGCCTGGGGAGAGGAAGGTGATGAGGGAGATGAAGAGAACGACATCAAGGATGAAAGTAGCGCTTATCTCGAGTTCCTGAGTGAAGAAGTAAGCGAGAATGACTTTAACTTTGATTTATACGTGCTCACAAAATTTTAGGCTTCAAAATTCAGCAATCTTGAAGATCAAGACTCGGATGATGAGCTTGGTGAAGAGAGTCTTCTTGAAACTCCTCTCGATAAAGTGGAGCCATACCAGTTATTCAAGAACGCCTTGATGAGTATGTATTTCTCTTTGAAACATGATTTAGATGATGTACTAATTTGTATACACAGAACTTCAACAAGAACAACCTCAACTTTATGAATCACTTACCACAAATCTTAACCCATCTGAGCAAGAAATAGTTCAAGGTGTTATACATCAAGCAGATGTCAACGCAGCTGCGGCAATTGCATCGGCTCAAATAGAGGCACAACTTGCTGCAGGTGTAGTCAATGGAGGAGCTTGAAGAAAAAAAAAGAGGATTAGATTCGTCGTGGTGTCATGTCGAATAATTGGAGTGGATTAAATGGTTGCTCAAGCGCACGTTGCATTTGGTTGGCGTTTTTTTGATATGAGAGATATGAAGTGAAGTTCCAAATTTGGATTTCATGATATCCTTACAGGTACGAAATGATTATGGAAGCTGCATACCCTGGGATTTCAAGAATCATTCGGGATTGCGAGGAATGGAAGTTGATTGGGGTTGTGGGATAGGGATTTCATCTGATTAGGTATGATGACGATGATGATGATGATGAGATGAATCTTATCGATTGGATGCACATCAGATCGAGTTTAAATGAGATTGAAAATGGATAGGGTAGGGCAGGGGAGGTATAGTATAGTAGATTACTTTACAGCTTGAAGGACGACTTTGGTCGTCAGACGTTACGTTGCAATACCACATTCCAGAATAAAACTTTGCTATTAAATAAGATTTAGAATGTGCTGTGTTGTTGCTTGTGTGGTGATTTGTAGGTAGTTTGTGGATTTACAGAGGTGTGGTTCTTGATTTTGGGAGATGGATGATGAGAGAGATGTAGATGTAGATGTAGATGTAGATGTAGATGTAGATGTATAATGAGGTGGGCAGATGAATGAATGAATGCATAGATAAACAGAAGGGGGTGAAGAGTCAAATCAAGTCAAGCCAAATCAAATCAAATACCCAAGTAAAGAATACATATCCCGCGCTCTTCCTCACGCTATTCTCCCCTTCTTCTCAATCTATCGTCTCATATTATCCTATATCCACATCATCTACCCAATCCTATTTCTCTCTCCATTTCTCTTCTTCTTTCGTTCCTCTTTTGGAAACCCACCCGCTCCCCTTTTTCTCCTTACTTTCAATGTATTGTTACTTCTGCTTCTACTTCTACTTCTACCTCTACCTCTACCTCTACCTCTACCTCTACCTCTACCTCTACCTCTACCTCTACCTCTACCTCTACCTCTACCTCTACCTCTATCCCAAGCTCAGTCCCAATCTCAAGCTCAAGCTCAACTCAATTAAAAAAAAAATCTAATTCTTCAAGATCCCTAGATCTATACAACATAAACCCCTGCCATCAGCCACCAGTCACATCACGTCACATCAAATAAAGTTTCCACTTGTATTTCTTTACCATTTGTATTCCATTTCTACCTTGTACCTTATTTGTCTTATCTTATAATCAAGTCCTCACCCACACTTCCCAAATCATCCACTTCTGTTCTTCTATCCCCTGACCATTTCACCCATCCAACCCCTCGTCCTCAGCCCTGCCCAATCTGACCCAGCATCTCAATGCCCGTATCATTACCTGCACGCGCCATACAATTTCACTCCTCCATATCCTCAATTCCCAATTATCACTATGAGAGCCAAGGGCCAGTAGCCAGGAACCAGAAGACAGGTCTGAACAAATTTAGTCAGGTAGCCCAGTCAACATCACTCATCCATCAACCAAATCCACCCTCAACTAATCAACTCCATTCTCTCAAATTCCTCTCTCACGTTCTGATCCACTCAGCTATGTAGGTAATCACAAATTAGCCGGGTAGTGTACTTATTCCCCAACTCCGAAGCCCATCGCATTTGCACAGTTCACCTAGCATTTTTGATTAACACAAAAAGGCAGTGTAAATCAAAAACCCACAAGGGAAACGAAAAAAAAAGAGCAAGAGCTAGAAGTAAGAAAGGCAGAAAAAGAACGAAAAGTAAAATGAGATATATATAAAAAAAGAGTAAAGAAAGAAAAAAGTTCCCAATCGTAACACATTGACTTTATTACATAAACTCCAAACCAAAACCTTTGAACCCCATAATGGCACTCCAGTGATTCCATATATCTTTGGAGAAAACTATTCCCATCCCCGCACCTTTGATATATTCCCAGTTCCCAATTCCTATCAACGAAGGTGTGCTGTTGTATATTGGTATTTTCACTATGACATCCCCAAGAACCTTATTCATCCTTATAATAAGATTAGGTAATTCGAAGGCGCTATTCCAGTGTCTCCGTTTTCTTTCTTGGCTTGCCACCATCTCCCACTCACGTCTGAGACTTCTAATATTTCGTGTTTGGCGAAACTAATCTCGTTTGCATCATCTGGGTTGGCATCGTAAGAGTAAATGGCCTTCGCTCGATATGGATATTCTGTAGGCTGAATGACTTCACCTGGTGTAGGTTCTGAACCCATTCCACCATTTGGTCCAAGATTGCTGGCTCCAAATCTTGGTTGTGATGAGTTGCGCTCGGCTCCCGCGGCACCACCTGGGAATCCTGCTACTGGTGAAGATGTTTCGAAACCACCTAATTGCGCTGATGTATACATCTGTGGTGGAACGTTTGAAGAGATTGAAGTATCCGGTCGACCGGTTCCATACCCATTTCCATAAGCAGTCGACATTCCTCTTCCAGACGATGCTCTGTGGTCTTTATGAAGTGCGAACGAGTCAAGGTAAGCTCGAGGTACCGCCGAAGGTGTTGATCCAAAGTAGAACATCCAAATAATCTAGATTCAACATTAGTAAGGGATCTAGACCTTTCAGACCAAACAATCTTACCGCAACCATAGAGAGAAGGATATGTCCAGCAGCGGCTGCTTCTTTTGCTCCATTTGAAGAATAAATTAATGAATTGACAGATGAACTTGTTAATACGAGACCGGTAGCCAAGAATCCAACGATAGCAACATGATAGGTTTGAGTTGTATCCGAAGCTATCACGACAAATATACCTAGAATGCAACACAGCATATATGCAATCGTAAACCATGAATAATCTGGAAATCCGTCACTAGATGCGTGTGATGCAGTCGCTAATATTGATCCAATGAAAGCAATAAACCATGCAAGCTATCAATCGTTCATGTCAGTAACCATTGCATGTAGAGAATGAGGCGCAGTATATATCCACGACTTTGAAATAACATACCATGGCAATCGAGATGGTAGCCAGCGCGAACGGATCTCCTAGAATATTATCCATACTCATTCCACGCATTCCGGCTGTCCTCCGACCTTTGTAATCTGATTGATTCATTTTTGCGTGGTGAAGGCGAAGTCAATGTTGTGTTGGGTATAAGAAAGATCTACAAGATCGAGAGAGGGTTGTTGTTGTTATTGTTGAAAGTAATAATTATTATTGTCGACTCAGGTATTATCGTCGCAAATAAGAGCATTCGATTCAATCGAACGAATTGTAAATCGAGGATGGAGAAAATCGAGGAAATAAGTCAATCAAATATCGAAGAGGACCGTAGAATAGGTTGGCCGGTGGTCGAAGTGATGTTTCAGCTGCAGTGACTGAATTAAGGAATCTACTTCAATAGATTGAAGCAAGCAAATGGTAAAAATCCAGATGAATCAATTCAACGCAACGCTCGTTATTTGGGGTATCGTAATTTTGAAAGCTAACCACAGCCCAGCAGTAGCAGCGACCTTAATCTTTTTCTGAAAATAAAAATCGATATCACGAGTATTGAGTGATAATGTTGAAAGAGTGTGGTTGTGGTGTAAAATGAGATTGAAGGTAATGTGTGTGTGTGTGTGTGTGTGTGTGTGTGTGTGTGTGTGGTGTGGTGGAGGGTTGTTGCGTGCGCGGTTTAGAAAAAGGGGATCGATGGGTGTGATGATACGCGCAATGGCACGAGAGTTGAGGAAAAAAAGGTTAAAAAGGTTTAACAAGGTACATATGTATGTGTGTACCTATGTGTACCAGGGATGGGGTGAAGAGTGAACAATGTGTATGTATGTATGTAAGTGTACGGGGTATGCAAGTTCCCAGATTGCCAGTGTATGATGTGATGCGATGGATGGATGGATGGATGGATGGATGGATGAAATGAATAGAAGGGGAAATAATGAGTGGATGTGGCTATCAGGGAGGTTACAGAAAAGCGTCCAGATCGCAGTAGGATTTGGGGTAGAGAGTGAATGAATGGATGAATGAATGAATGAGCGAATGAATGAATGAATAAGTGAATGGTGAGACGAATCCTCTTTTGGCGAGAGAGAGAAGAATGGTATGAACGATGGATGGGTGTATGGGGTAGGGCAGTGTGAAGTGTGTTTAGGCTGACGGAGAGTTGGGATCCGAAGTAATAATGTATAAGATTGATTGGATGTGATAATTCATTCAATGGTCATGGTAATGGTAACGATAACGGTAATGGGATGGGATTCCTGTGTGAACATCGACGGAAAACGGACAACGAAGAGTGTCTGCTACTTGGCAATAAGCAAAGAGATACGAATCAATGGTTTAAATTATTAACCTTTTAGACCATCTACCTAGTTTTCACCTAGTCCTCCGTGAGTACGAATGGCATATTACTATTTGCAAGGCTCGAGCAAGAAGCAAGGGAGGAGATTCTTCCATAGATTGGAGTGAGGCTTAGGATTTATGCTAGACGTCTACGGAGTAGTTTATTCTCTATGCTCTCTTCATTGTGATATTCATTACCTGTCTAGTATATCCAATCTCCAACATAACACAACATTTCATCATTATCCTCCTCTTGTCTCCTCCATCGTATCACATTCCAATAAGATTTGACCGCCCCAAATCAACGCATCGCATTGGTTGAGAAAGACGAAGAAACGATGGGGCCATCTAGCACGACGCACGCTTGAGGGAAATTCTTTGCTTTAGTTTAGTGTCTAGGTCAATGGTCAACACCTTTTTCATCTTGGGCCGGCTTGCTTGTTTCTAGATTTGCAGGTCCAAGTTGTTTCAATCCCATGCTCCATCCATCCAGTGTGGTTGGTTCCGAGCTTCCTTAGCTTGAGATGGGTTTTTATTAGTCAGGCACAGGATGTTGTGGTGTGGAGATTCATTTGGTTCCTGATATCTACTTGGGGTATGTATCTCTGTGTGGTATGTGTATATATATGTATGTGTGTGTATGTATGTATGTGTGTGTATGTAGATATGTGTATGTAGATATGTGTATATATGTGTGTATGTATGTGTGTATATATGTGTGTATGTAGATATGTGTGTATATATATATATACACACACACACATCTCCTTGAACCCTCTATAAAGCAATAGAACACACAAATATCACACCCCTCTCAATCTCCATCGCTACAATACCACCAAACTGATAATTCAAATCCAATCTACATCATCAATCATCAATCATCAATCATCCTTCCTCCACAACCTCCATACATATTCCCTCGAATTAATTAACAATTCAGTACCTACCTACCTACCTACCTACTAAACTAACTAACCAACTAACTAGCTAAGTAAATAAATTCATACTTTTCTCCTTCCCCTCCCAGACTTCTCCCAGGGTCTCCGATCCATTTTTTAGTCTTTTATTTCTCATCAAAAAAAAATCTAGACTTTAGGATCATCCATCCACACACGTTTCATATTTCAGGGGTCAAGTCAAAACCCTCACTTTATTCTTTTTTTTTTTTTCGCCAATTCAATTCTTTTGGGATTTCTTGAGTTCTGGGAATATGGATACTCTCTCCACTCTACTTCTGCTTGGTATTTCTTCTACCTTTTACGAGTACAATTAATTAGTATGTTGTATATATATATATATATACAATCTAATCGCACCTAGATATCTCCATCTTCCCCTTCCTACCTAACTACCAACTACCTACCTATCTACCTAAATACTTCTACACCATACTACATATACATACACCATGCAATAATAACGAACAGATCCCCATCTCCTCAGCACCGCCTTCCTCTAAAATCCGCACCGCTACGGAGTCCACAGCACGCACAGCACAGCTGCACAACACGGACCTCAAGCTCGTGTGCTCGTGTGCTCGTGCTGGTTCCTGGCAGCTGTGATGTGCACTGCAGCGCTGTGTTAATAATAGGTCACATACCTACCCAGTCTATCTCCTCTAACGTACATACTTGTCAGATGCAGATACAAACCACACAAAGTCCAATCTTCAAGCTGCCAAGAAAAGGAGCCATGCTTTTATGCTAATATTTACCATTTAGTACGGAGTATCTACATATCCAACTACCCATACCATAATTCCCAATTCCATCATGATATACTTCACACACAGAAGCCTTGTTATTTCCATTTCCATTTCCATTTCCATTTTCATTTCCCAACACCCACCACAAGAAAAGAACAACATCATTTAATAGCCCGTGCGCACATATACACATACATATATTTTATATCCTACATCAAATACCTACCTACCTGCCTAGGTAGTAAACCCAACATAATGTTACGCCAATAGGCAATTCCCGCGAGAGAAGTTTCAAGATCTTCTTTCTGAATCACAACACATAGAAATATGACGATATTCACGTCCCACCATCAAACAAGCATTTGCTTTTGACCGTTAGGAAACATGGACCAGGTTCCCAAGGGCGCTACGGAGTATTTCTCAAGCTATCTTGATCGTCTTCCTTCTTATACTCGCATGTTCACCTACCGAGTATGTTGATCGAAAACTGGAGCTATAGAGTTTGCTTGCCACCCACCACCACTCACCAATAAATAAAAGACGATCGATGTGAGAACGGCGAAGAAGAGATCTTCTGCTACCAGTGGACACCCCTTCCCCCACATTTGTTATAATGGCTCGTGCTGTGCTGTGCTTGTGGTGTGGTAGTGCTTGGTCTCAGTATCCTCATCATGTATGCATTTTCTTTTTCGGACTCGCTGGCGCCATACAATGCCATGATTGATAATATCATGATTCGTGATACTTGAACGTCACAGATCTGAATGGACAAGTGTTCTCTAGATATTGGAACGCGTGAAGAATGTACTCAGCTACACGTGTGAATGGTGGTTCCTAATTACGCGGTTGATTCGCTCCTAAGCTCGTGCGGCCTTGAACTTATCAACCATTTCCACCGGATAACGGCTGTTCATCCCTTCGCAAGCGGCAACGGTAATACCTCAATTACTACAGATATACCTGACTGATACATGTGAGAGCTGGTATGTCATAGCCCAGACCGTTGATATCTTTGTAGCCAATTTCTGAAACGCGGATCATACAACCTCCGTACTCTTCCATTTCCCAGCTGTAGCATCATCGCCTTGTCCAAGATATTAGGACGTATCTCTCCGCAATTACTCAAATACCGCTAGAACAGACTTATCATCACATCGAGATGTCGATGGTGCTCTGACCTAGAGACGTTTCCTTTCCATCTCACTTCACTAACTTCACTATGACGTGTATTTCTTTGGTATGTTCCCACTGGGATGTCAAGCTTCTGAAAACCTGTTGACCTTGAGAAATGTGAGTCTCACTCCTGAGCTATGCCATCATCCAATTGTTTCAACGTTGTGGCTCTTCGAACTTTTTGCTCTACATGTTGCACTCTCTCTTCCAACTCTGCCCAACTTTCACCGGTGCGCAATATGTCAACAGTATACCAACGTTGAATTACCGCTGCGGTTCTTTGCCTCAACGCTGATAACTCCGCATTTTGTGCCATCTGGAGAGCTTCGATTTTCGCGATTCGAGGTTGTAACTCGATGAGTTGAGCAGACGATTCTGCTGATGGGATTGGCATGTCAAGAATAGATGTCAATCGAGAAGCAGTAGATGGATATGCGCTGGCGGATGCTAATACGATAGATAAAATACTGGACGTATCGAGAGTGGTAGGTAGTATATCGGGGTCAATGGATTGAAAGAGGTCGGGGTATTTGGCATCTAGAAGGTATTAGTTACCACCATTAAATAGCCCGAGTAGCCCCAATAGACTCACGTAACTGCAATAAATCCTGAATGACCCTTGATTTCGAAGCAAGTCCATGTAGAATATGTTCTAAATCTGCAAGTCGTTCATACGCAGATATAGATACATCGGAGCTTGTGACAGATGTAGTGTCAATATGACCACACACAGCATATTCTATCCTCCGTAGTCGGGCTTCTAATAGATCAATAGTTTCCGAGGCTGTCTTATCGAATGTGTTATCCATTGTGAAGTAGTGAAATTGGATGTTTGGAACAATTGTAATTTACTGTTCCTCAATAATCTGGGGAAAGGAGAGGGCTGCCGCCAAAAATGTACAGCAAGGCTGATAAGGTTAGGGAAGTTTAAGTCTAATCAGTGGCTTAGCTTGGCAATCACTTGCAATCTTGAAGATTGCCGTTTGCCGTTTGCCGTTTGCTTCCGCTTCATCACTACGGGGCACTTTTTTATTATTGGTCCTCACTCATTACATGCGAATACCAGTCAATTGCGCGACATCCACCTCCCTTGACGATTACATCAATTTATCCTCTGATCACAACTTCAGACGATACTCTCCAAAATTCACAGCCGTATGCAAACGGTGATGGTGGCGCTTAGAAAATTGTAGGATCAGGACAGCTCTTCGAAAGCTCCGCATAAATACCTACGTCAATCATTCCCCATACTGGCACGCTCTCACCGACACCTCAGAGGAGAACGAAGAGAGAGGAACACAAGTAAAACATGGCTTCATATTTGACTGTTGGCGGGCCAAGCGCCAGTAGCTCAGAATCTAACCGTGGTCCACGGTAAGCAAATTGTTCGGGAGGAAAAGATGGGAAGAAGGATACATACTGATGGTCGCGTGCAGAAGGAAATCAAGTCGAACAATTAAAGAACAGAACTTGCCTCACGGTCAAGCATCTTGGATCAGTAGCAATGTCAATCTCCTTAATACTAGTATGTTCTACCTCGACTTTTTGGGGGATGATGCTAACATTGAACCTTCTAGTCGTTGGCGCTGGTACGCTTGCTATGCCCCTAGCGATGTCACATATGGGAATCCTACTGGGAACATTCGTCATAATATGGTCGGGTATGATGGCAGCTTTTGGCTTGTATTTACAATCTCGATGTGCGAGATATCTTGATAGAGGGACGGCTTCTTTCTTCGCTTTATCCCAAATCACCTACCCAAATGCAGCGGTCATTTTCGATGCGGCGATTGCCATCAAATGCTTTGGTGTGGGCGTTAGTTATTTGATCATTATCGGTGATCTAATGCCAGGAGTTGCGACTGGTTTCAGTCAGGGAGCAGAATCCATGCCGATTCTTATGGATCGAAAGTTTTGGATAACAGTTTTCATGTGAGTTTGGCATTCGATTTTTGATAGGATTATACTGACCTGTCTTGAGGTTTGTCGTTATTCCACTCTCATATTTAAGACGTTTAGATTCCTTGAAGTATACTAGTATCGTTGCTCTGGTTTCTATTGGATATCTCGTCATTCTCGTGGTATACCACTTTGTTAAAGGAGATACCATGGCAGACCGGGGTCCAATTAGAGGGGTTGAGTGGGCAGGAATAGTCCCAACTTTACAAAGTTTCCCCGTCATTGTCTTTGCTTATACTTGTCACCAGAATGTAAGTAGTAGATACCTCGGTTTCTTATTGGTATGCTAACAGTCATAGATGTTCTCTATTCTGAATGAGATCAAAGATAACTCACCTAAGCGAACTACAGGTGTCGTTGCAGCAAGTATTGGAAGTGCTGCTTCTATATACGTTTTAGTCGCTATCACTGGATATCTTTCCTTTGGTAACGCTGTGAAGGGAAACATCGTTGGAATGTGTAAGTACTCTACTAAAATTACAACTCCACAACACTAACAAGTTTAGATATCCCATCTACTGCTTCAACAATCGCTAAAGCAGCTATTGTGATTCTTGTCATGTTCTCCTATCCACTTCAAGTACACCCTTGTAGAGCATCAGTCGATGCAGTCTTGAAGTGGCGCCCAAACTCCTGGAAGAGAAGTCATTCGCCTACCGGCTCGCCTGCACGCTCTGCTCCTTTACTCTCTGGTGGTCGTGTACGACCTGCCGCCAGAAACGATACTATTGGCGAAACACGATTTGCAATCATTACCACGATTATCATCGCTCTTAGCTATTTCACAGCAGTTACTGTGTCATCACTCGATAAAGTCCTCGCATATGTTGGAAGTACAGGAAGTACAAGTATCAGTTTCATTTTACCAGGACTATTTTATTATAAGATTTCCTCACCAGATTCGATCCATCACCAACGATTAGCAAAAGAAGATGACGAAACAGATTCCGATGAAGATGAGGAGGAAGGTCAAGGGCTACTTGGTCAATCCATCAAGAAGATTACTTGGCGTAAAACCATCCTACGAAAGCTTTCTTTGGCATTGGCTATTTATGGTCTTTGTGTATTGGTCATTTGTTTAACGACCAATCTATTCTTCACAGCCCAGGGGCATTGAAGTTGATTGATGGGGGAGATTTACCTCTGAAGTTTGTATCGCATTTGAAATCATAAATTGGCAAGGCGCTGGGCGTTTATCATGGCATTTTGGAAGCGGCATGGAATAAAAAGTCAAACATGGTGATGTTTAGTCATTCATTAATGCCATAATTTTTGGAATCTACTTGGATGTAAATAGGATTTGGACATGAGGATTATATATAACGGCCTTTCGTCAAAATAAAAGATATTATTTTCGATCAATTTTGGAACTGATTTGATGATGTAGAAATAGGTGTATGATTTGATTTGATTTTTTTGTAATTCCTAACTCCTGATTTTTTTACTTTACAAATGGATGTCAGTCCATACGAGTCCGGTGTATGATTCCATATTATCACTACAATTCATCCATCATCCACTGAGCGATCTATCATATCGTCCATGGATATAAATAAACATTCGTCTCTGCGTAAAAATAAAGTGCCTTCCTCTCTCCTGGCATTTTTGCACATATTCGTGGGATATGTATGTAATGTGTAAAACGTAATGTGTAAAATGCAATGTGTGAAACGCCCCAGACACGCTCCATTTGTCCTCCCTCCTTTGCTTTGCTTGCTCATAGATACGATATCTCTATCTATCTGGATCTGAATTTATTGGTATAGTGGAAATACATAGAGAGATGGAGAGAGAGTGTGTGTGTGAGTGAGAGAGACGCGTTTCTTCCGATTCTAATTCTGATGATGCGCGAGATGTATGGGCTTGTTTTGTTTTGTTTTGTTTTGTTTATGATGTGTTCAGCGAGTTTGTCTTGTCGTTTGTTTCTATCCTCTTTCTCGGGCTTTGAAAGTTGTGGGATTGTGATTGTGATTGTGATTGTGATTGTGATTGTAGTTGTAGTTGAAACTCATCTTCTAGAGAATTGGAGGCAAGCTAGGAATCGCCTTTGAGAATGGGCTTGCTGGAGATGGGAGACGTGCGGGTTTTGGATTGGGGCGTGTATTGGGGTTCGAGGAGACCGGCCTGGGGAGGGGGGTGGTTGGTTAGTTTTTGGTTTCTTCTTTTGGGAGGGTTGGGGGTTGGGATTGGGATTTGGGGTCTGCTTCTTGAGCTTGTTCTCAACGAGCATAAAGTTTTTCTGAATGTCTTGATGTGGTATCGAATGAGATAATATAGGATGCAATTAAAAATAAACACAACATACCATACTCAACAATCTCCACGCCGTCTTCGACGGCTGCGCACCCACTCCCAACCAATACTTTGCGCGCAGCGTATCCAGACGAATGTCTTTGAATTTTTGTCCCTCGCCGTCCGCAGGGAGTTTGGGGATTGGGTCGTAAGTACCGAGGACTTCGAGGGGGAGCGAATTGCGGGCTGAGCTGGGGGGTGTTAGTGGTTATTGGGGAGGAGGGGGGAGGGAAAATCTTACCGCGCTTGTGCGACGACGATGTTGTAGAAGGGTTCTCTTTTGCGGCCGAAGCGCGCGAGTCGGATACGTACGACCATTTTTGGGGAGGGTTGGTTTGGGATGGGGGGGTTGAGGGTTTGGTTGGATAGGTGTGTTATGGATGGTAGGGGATTGTAGATGAGGGAAATTATTTGATGTTCGGAAGTTCTTCGGGTAGCGGGATTTTTTTGGGTGTGAGGGTGGAATTGGTGGATAAGGGGTGGAGGGCAGGGGTGGAAGAAAGGGAAGAGGAGAGGAGGGGTAGTGATGTAATTGTGCTTTGTACGAGTACTTGAGGGGGGATTGATAAGGTGGGTGAGTGACTTTCTTTGAAGATGTCTATTTCTACATCTTGAGTTGTAGAAGTTGTTTGAGAAAGAATTATATGTTTATTGATTTATGCATCTTTTGCTTTCTTTCGAAAGATCCGTTAATTTGGCGATCAGTTTGTCGTTCCATTGATTACTGAATGATTGTCATTTCAATTGATTAAAATCGTATGAGTACTCAATTATCTCCCGGTTACCAAAATCAAACTATCATTCTGATATTTTGAATTATCGAGTTATCAGACTACAACTATAACTACAACTACAACTACATATCTTACTGATACCATCCATCCACCCCATAATATCTCAACTTCCATCCCATCACACTATCCATCATGGCAGCCAAAGTAACCCCCCTTTCCTCCATCACAAATCAAAACACAAATCTAACACGCCATAGTACCTCTCCGCCGCCAATGCAGCAGCTTTAGATAAAGATCTCATGTCTATTGGAGCATTTTCTCTTGATCAATTGATGGAGTTGGCAGGATTGAGTGTTTCGCAAGTGGGTATGTATTTTTATTATTTTTTGTGTGGTTTTTCCTCGGGGGAGGGGGGGGATGGGGATGTATGTTAGGGGTGTGTCTGTGAGGGTTTCTTGTGATTTATGAGGAAATGTAGCTATGCAAGAGGATGGTAGAGGAGAAAATAAGGGGTGAAGATGGAGAGGCGAAGAAAACGTGACGGGATGGAGATATGTATTCATATTAGTGTATGAAGTATATCATCTCTAGATTCTGTCAATCTAGTCGTCTATTATATTGGGAGATTCGAATTCTCGTCGAAAGACGTATTTCTCAAGTCAAATACTTCTTTCTCATTCCATTCATCACATTACTCCCAACAATACAAAACACAACAAAACAAAACAACTAATCACATCCCAATTTGAACTAGTATACAAAGTTCATCCTCCCTCCAAAGGCCGAAGAATTCTCGTCGCATGCGGACCCGGAAACAACGGTACGTAAAATTAAATCCCATCTAAATCAACCTACATCCACATCTCCCTCTCCACCCAACTCCCATCGCGCAAGAAATCATAAAATCTAACGCTCCCAAATTCAGGAGGCGATGGTCTGGTCGCAGCTCGTCATCTCTGGCACTACGGTTACAAACCCACAATCTATTATCCCAAACAAGGAAAAAATGAACTCTATCAAGTATGAAATCCCCTTCTATATCTCTCTCCTCGCGCCTCAATTTCTTCTTCCCTTGTAATATAGGACACAGATATTTACAGATCTATGTCTATTTTAGCTGTGAGATATAGATATACTAATTCGTTGTAGCGTCTCTCTACCCAACTCCGCAATCTCTCGATCCCGTTTACAGACGATTTTTCGGAAGCTCTGAAAGAATCCGATCACATCGTCGATGCTATATTCGGTATTTCTCCCCTCACAACCCCCCCCTCACTATCACCCAAACCCCTCTCCTTTTCTCACCCCCTCACCCCCCATACTCACTAACCCCCCTCCCCCAGGCTTCTCTTTCTCCGGCAGCATCCGCGACCCCTTCCCCTCTATAATCCGCGCTCTAGAAACCACTTCCCTCCCCATAACATCTATCGACGCGCCCTCATCCTGGGACATCGCCACTGGGCCTCCGTCTTCCGGTCCCGGCGCAAACTTCATGCCGCAATATCTGATTAGTTTGACGGCGCCAAAACCTTTGGTCAGGTTCTTTAAGGGAAGGCATTTTTTGGGTGGGAGGTATGTGGGTTTTTGTTTTCTTCTTCGCATCTTTCTAGTATTTATTACTTTCATTGGTTTGATTAGCTGGAGATACATGTATATATATATATACACACTAAGGGATTGAGAAAGCTAACATCGATATCTAGATTCGTGACTCCAGAAATATCCGAAAAATACAATCTTCAACTCCCAGAATATGAGGGAGTAGATCAAATTGTTGAGATGCCGGTTCAGGAAGAGGAGAAATTATAAAGAATTACTAAAATATGACAGCACAATTAGGAGAATTAGTAGCAGAACTACGAATGTGATAAGATACAATGTATTTTTGTTTGTTTATTCTTATATGCACTGTAAAACTCATCTACTAATCATAATATACATCAGTTCATAAGGATCATCTCAAACGCATGGTTTGATATTTGTGCTGAATCATTATTCGTTCTGCGTGACACATGATTAGTCTGGCGATCCAGTAAAAGGGAAGCGAAGATTCCAACATACCTCTTTGAATAGCACAAGCACAGTACCCGCTTTGCAGATATCCTATCCACACACAATTCATTAGCATATATTCTTCAACATACTTCCATGAACTCAGAATCAATAGAGACAGAAATCCAAGAAAATTCACTCACCCCTTCCTTATGCACCAACTTAGCCACGACTCCTTTCTGCGGACTTCGAATCACCGTTTCCATCTTCATACTTTCAATCCTATACATTCAACACATTAGCATCAGCTCACAAATTTCCAACCTGAAGAAATACTCACACAACCAACGCCTGTCCTTCCTCCACCTCTTCTCCCTCTCCAACCTCATTTCTCAATACCTTACATGGCATCGGCGCTACCACACTATTTCTCACATCCTTCAATCCCAATGCCTTTTCATACCATCCCGAGGTTGCTAATTGTAATTGTATTTGTTTCCCCTGTTGGAAAAGTGTGATTTTATCATCTTGTCTGATTAACGTGCTTTCAATTCGAGTGTGAGGGAAGAAAGTTGAGATAGTAGGGGTCTTTGGCTCGCTAACGATGTTTGCGTATGATTTTTCGACATTGGGTCCCTTTACTGTGATGTTGTATAAATTGCGGTCTGGTTGATCAATGGTTACGTGATAGATTTCCGGCTTTTCGCTCGATGGTTGAATGATAGGTTTTGTGAAACTAAATTCGCGTTGTACGTGAGAGTTGAAACCAATTGCCTGGCCATGAGGACCTTGGATCGATTTGGAAGTCGCGGCAGAGAGTTCTTGGGATAAGATACCAAGAGCAGCTTGGGCAAATGCTTCGGGCTCAACGGTCTCATTTACGAAGAGCTCATCGTGATGCTTTTGTATGTATCCAGTCTCAACATCCCCTCGAATGAATGCAGGACTTTTGCAAATCTTTTTCAGAAACTCAATATTGGTACTTAGGCCAACCACCTCATAATCTTGTAAAGCTGCATGAAGTTTTCGTATGGCTACTTCTCTCGTCGGACCACTAACGATAAGTTTTGCAATCATACCATCGTAGTTTGATGAGACTGTATCTCCTTGAACAAAACCCGCATCTATTCGAACACTTTCCGATAGTTTAGGCGTTCGTAAATGAACAAGCTTTCCAGAATCAGGCATGAAATTTTGATCTGGGTTCTCTGCATAAATTCGTGCCTCAAGGGCCCATCCACGTTCAGATATTCTTTGAGCTATCGTATCTTGATCAAGTGGTAATGGTTCACCAGCTGCAACTTTGAATTGCCATGATACGAGATCTTCACCAGTGATTTCTTCAGTCACGGGATGTTCGACCTGCAATCTAGTGTTCATTTCCATGAAGAAAAATTCATTAGTATCGTTGTCGAATATAACTACAATTTTGGTTAGCTCTGACAAAAAAAGAATTGACATTTTTCTCACATTCTACTGTCCCAGCACCCTCATATCCCACAGCCAGTGCTGCAGCACGCGCTTTCTCCCAAAGATCCTGTCGAATGTTTTCCGCTAAATTTGGTGCTGGTGCTTCTTCCAGAATCTTTTGATGTCGTCTTTGTAAACTACAATCTCTCTCGCCCAAAGCAACAGCATGTCCATGTTTATCGGCAAAAACTTGAACCTCAATATGTCTTGGTGTAGCAATGTATTTCTCGACCAACATGACATCATCACCAAAAGAATTCCTCCCTTCACTCTTCGCACTCTCCAATTTCTCAAGAAATTCCCCTTCAGTCTGAGCAATACGCATACCCTTTCCACCACCGCCCTTCACAGCCTTCACCATAACTGGGAAGCCGATCTTCCTCGCCTCATTAAGTAGATGTTCAGGTTCTTGATTCTCCCCATGATATCCAGGTATACAAGGTACACCCGCCTTGATCATAATATCCTTACTCCTAGATTTATTTCCCATAGCCTCAATTGCTTTCCAAGGCGGTCCAATAAACACCAACCCCTCTTCCACACACCGTTTCGCAAACGCCGAATTCTCACTCAAAAATCCATATCCCGGATGTAGAGCCTCACAACCTTGTTCCTTTGCCACAGATATGATTCGTTCACCATCAAGATATGCATTCGCAGCACCCAGATTCACGGCGAAGGGACTGGAGAGTGCGTGTTGTGAATTGGCATCAGGATCCGTATAGATTGTTGTACATCGGACACCGAGATCTGAAGCTGTGCGTCCGACTCGTAGAGCAATTTCTCCACGATTAGCTATGAGAACGGAAGTAATGGGAGTGATTGTAGGAGTGGTGGCATATCGTCGGGAAAAGGAAGGAAGGAGAGCTCGAGCTAGAACTCGAGATCTGGTTGCTGAATGCATTTGGACATCAATTTCAAAGAGCAATCTCTGGATTTTATCAATTGTAACTTGGGCTTTTGGTTTATAAGAGTTGAGATCGAAGGAAGAAACGCTGATTGTAAGGAGAAAATTGTTTGTTTGATTCCTTAAGATTTATTTACGAAGTAACTTGAGTTATTGAATTGATGGCCGATGGAAAGCGTTCTAATGCGGGGCCGAGCATCAGCCGAATCATATCTGGGGTAGAAGAAAAGCCAGCTAAACCCAAGCTAGAATCTCCATAAAACTTTATCAAACTCGTGCCGTGCCGAGCGAAACCATCCTTTTTCTAACCTCACTCCGCCATAGTAGCTCAGCAACTAAACTTACTTATTACTTAAGGGGTAAAATAGATTTGGAGCGATAATGACTAACAAGTCTGGTCAACTACGTTGAAGTTTCAACATAGCCAGGGAGTCACTTTGTCTTATTATTGTTCATTTCATCCGAATACCTAGGTAACCTCCAAAGGAGAGCTATCTATACCATTCCCCCGGAAAACAAGCAGCGCAAAGACAAAACTGGCCTGCATGTGAAAGATATTGATCGTTTTCTTGATATGATGTTTTCCATCACCATTTCGAACCTCACATTCCAATTTCTCCAGCGACGAGATTGTCCAGGCAGTGGATGACAAGATGCCTTTTCCTCCTTCTAACATCATAGCTCCCTCTCGTCATTTATCATAAAATCCCCATCATCAAAGCAAACTCCAATCCAGCATACCTTCCCCTCTCACTCCATCACCACACGACCACCAATTCTAAATTTTACCACCACTCTCCCTATCTATTCCGCTAGACAAAAAACCACTCCATCGACCTCTCGAGAATATCCCCCGCAAACTCCCCCTCTTATCTATCAAACACCACATCTGAGCCGTCTTGGTGCAGTTGTTCGATCACTATTCGAAAGAAACGGTAAATTGTTCGAGAAGCGCAGTCAATGCACTCATATCGAAGATTGCACATGGAATTAACTATTCTAGAGAGGTTCCCCTTTAGACAGGTTATTACCATTCCTTGATACCTGATGAGAAAGAAATTAATTGGGCCGTATAGACTGCGGCAAGTATACATTGATCTAGTATAACCTCATAGAATACTTTTTTAGTGGCATAAAGACCCACTAACAGATACTAAATTCTTTGCCCATCGAGGAATCTTTGGGGGGGATGGACAAGGTGAAATGGTTTGTTTGAGTATGGGCATAGACTTGAACATGACCGAAAGAGCGCCTATTTTGAAAGTTTAATTGTTGTTTTGTTTCCGATTCCTGTATCAAAACACACTCGCTCAGGGTTCAAATAAAATGCTTCCATCATCTCAGTTCATTTCCCCCAGGGGTACACCTCCCTGGTATCACTCACATACCTACCCGAAAACCACATCATCTTCTCCCTCCAACCCATCCTCAAATCTAAACATCAAATCACTCCTCATCGTATACTTAATCCCACTCACCACATCATCCCCACTATGCAACAATCTCCTATGTTGAAAAATCAACACCCTCCCCACCTTCGGATCAACATCCAACCTCTCCTTCATATCCTTCGAATGGAACGTCGTAGCCCCTCCTCTGAGCATCTCCGAATCTTTTGAGAATTTAGGTGTATTAGGATCTTTCTCGAGTTCTTGCGCTGAATCATTAAGGTAAAGATGGATTGTGAAGAAAGAACGTTCGCTGCCATCTGGATTTCCGTAGGCGCCATCCACATGTTCTACATTTTTGAGTTAGACAAGCAGACCTTAACTACTAGTAATAGGGAAACAAATAGGAAAAATAAACAAACCTCTAAAATACTGGCCAGCACCATATCTTAAAAATCTCATGCGCTCATTAATTCCCTGTTCAGTACCCACCCATCTCTCACCACTCCGAAGTCCCAAACTAGCCAATCCTTCCCATTTCTTTCCCTCAAGGACTCCTATATCCTCTTTGATACCCTTTCCTTGAAGAACTCTCTTCCAGAGACGTGACACCACTTCCTTTTCGTCCCAGATAATTCGATCTGAATTTCTATATTCTGTAGAGAGGAATTCATACCCCACACCTGCATTTACCATTGCGGGGGTCCATCCATTATTTTCTGGCCCTTGAAATTCATTTTCATTCCGATTATCACCCTCATCTCCATCACCACCTCCCCCGCCCACCAAATTCCCATGCCCCCCTTTACTCATCTCCGCCAACCGAATCAACTCCCCACACTCCTCTCTACTCAACACCCCATCCAACACCACCGCATACGCACCCCTATACTCGCTCAACACCGTCTTCTCAAACTCAATCCTCTGAACCGTAATCTTCTCCTCCGGAGTCTCCAGCGGTTGCAAAAAGTCTCCAGGGATTTCAACCGGGAGAGATGTATAATTCGTCTTGACCACGTCGTAACCTCTTCTCCCACCTCCACTTTTCGCTTTCCGTTCTTTAATCGTTTGTTCTTTCGGGTTGCTGTTTTGGAAAGAGCCTGTAAGGCGCGAGGCTGTGCCTTTCAACTCGGAGAGAAAAGACATTGTGGGTTTAGTTGTGATATTTGCATGTACGATATATTGTTTATTGTTAATAAAGAGAGGCGCCTTTTATAAACAGAGGTCAAGGAGGGGAAAATGTTAGAGGTTAGAATCGAAGTAGATTAAGAAATTAGAAAGCACTTGAGCTTTCCATAAGGCTACATTACATTTTTGCAATGGCTGTAATCGAGTCATCCAGGAAGTTGTTGCCTACCAGTAGCATCCTACTATGAGAACACAGCCACCATCTGTACAAGGCTTAGCGTCCCAAGGCTGACTCCATGCCCAAGCGACCCCTGTTAAGCGGGGATATATTGACATCATCATTCGGAGAACACATATGAACGAAGTAACAGGGTATAATTGAGAGAATTGTTATTATATTTCTAGTATTTGGAAAGAAGACGTGAGAAGCAGCAATACATTGATTGCTGATACGGAAAGAAAAATCACTTATCTGTTATATCACTAGCACTAGCACTCGCTCTCAGAACAATGTAGAATTTCAGGGAGATGAAAAATTGGGAGGAAGAGATATATTATCAACCCAGGTCTAGCTATACTGTGCATATACAATAAAGTAGGTTCTAAAACTGTGGTATGTTGATTAATAACATCTTGTCTGCCTCTTCCACCCACTGGTCCATCCCTTGAAATTTTTCGCTGGAGAGGAGTGATGCAATGAAGACGATACACTCGAAGGTATCTGATGCTTAATGCTAATTCGTAAGGATCGCCGATGGAGCGTTTTATTTGAAGTTGAATGCTTATGCTGATTTAATAGAGAAGATGAATGGGGATTTTGGCTTTGCCTCACACCAGGCCGCGCAAAGAAGATATGGGGGATGTCGTCATGTAAAATATTGAGTGTTCAGACCAATGAATAGTAGGATGATCGTCATGTAGATAGAATCCCATGCAAACCGTCGTCAGGTCACAATTCGACCATCACTACTTCTTCCGGGATTTCCATCGATGCGCCTGCCTTGATCAGCCTGCAAGACCTCAGTTGGACGAAAAGATGAAGAAGTAGTGGGAGAGGTGGGTTGATCTTGGGCGTACTCATGATCATACTCATCGTCTGGATAATCTTCACTTTGAGTTCCTTGACTGTGGTTTTGATCTGCTGGATGACCTTGCTGAGAGTTTTGATGTTGATTTTGGCGATCCTGTGGAATTGACTTGGCTGCAGCCTTGCTACCCTTTTTTCCCTTTCGCCCTTTCGTCTTTGCCTTCTCCAGTAATCTTTTCCTCTCTGCTTCCTGCTTCCTAATACGCCTGTCCTTTCTTTCATACTGCCTAATCAATGCCATGGGTAATTCGCCAAAGATACTCTCATATTCGCAAAACTCGCAAATCCAAATATCTTCAGGATTAGGAGGATGAGTGATGTTCTGATATTCTTGTTGTTGACGACGCTGGCGAGCGGCGATTTGGTACTCTTTGCTCGCTCGACGTCGGGTTCTTTTTGGGGGTGCCGTTTGAGGCACACTTTGCTTCTGCGCATGCGCCGATTGTTGGGATTTTGTCTGCATGTTCGAGCCTATCTGTGTTCCATGTGTCATCATTGACCTCCCAGCAGGACTTTGATGCATATTTGTATTTGTTGATCCAGGCCAGGGTCCTGGTGCCGGTACTTGAGAATCACAAGTAAAAGTGAATTGAGTAGAAGTGGGGGTCGGTTTCTTCGATGCCTGTTGTTGCAACAAACTAATATTCTCTTGACCCCTCGATGGAGTTATTGGAGGTTCTTTCTCGGCGTTTGCAATTGCAGTTGAGATGATCCCTGCATTTTCGTCTTTGCAATCGTCATCAGTAAATTTTTTAGCACAGTCTGAATTTTTGAGAGGGGAAAAACTTACTAGATATGGGCCACTGGGGTTGTCGTTGTTTTGAATTGCGGCCATTGCCCCAGTTACCCGAAACGTCAGATAAAGTTCTCAAGGGACTTCTACCATTGCGATTTCGGCCATATCTACCTCTTCCAGGACCCGACAAACCTTGAGATACCGATCCACCGGCATGATAGTATCCTGCACCATTGACATCCTCTTCATCTTGACCAGATATTCCCATTCCTGCTAAATCGTTGGAAAGATGAACTCCATTGATATTTGAGTCTCCGGGTGTAGGAATTTTGCGTTTCTTCTTATTATTTGTATTCTCGAATGAGTCATAACCATCTGCAGAAGAAGCAGTTGAGCCAGGAGGGTGAGGATTTGGATGTTTGGAGTCGGGCTTTTGAACATAGCGGTAGGAACGACCAGAGCTATCAACTGACTGTCTTGGGTAGAGTCGCGTAGAACGGAAAACCTCCTCCTCTTCACTTTCTGGATCTTCTCCATTCCGCCGTGGGATATAATTCTGATCGACATTATCTACCTGCGGGCGTTCACTTGAATGTGAAGCCTCTAACATAGTGCTTGCCGCAACCTCGTCTCGAACAGTATATGGATAGTAGAATAAGGGAGTTTGAGTTTTAGGTGCGGGCGGGTATTTGATCGATTCGGCGACATTAGGAGAGAGACGTTCACGGAGACTTCTTTTGGGCAGAGGTCTGATGGGACGTTCTGGATGTGCCGGCGATACAACTTCTGGAGACATAGCTCGTGATGATTCGGATGGGGAGTAGCCTAACAAGCATTCAAATACAGAGATCAGCCAATGTAATATACATGAGACAAAGCCCACCATGATTCCTGTTGTCATGAAAAGAATTTGTGGTTGTTTGCCGCTGCCAAATTGGTAGTTTCAAGTGGCGGAATCATTAATGAGAGGTGCCACGCTATGAGAATTTCATACTTGTGTTCATCACCGAGAAAGAGGACATGACATGCCAACTACCTCCAAGACTAAATTTGCGCTCTTCTGAAGGTTCGCGTACGGCAGAAATGTATTTGTTCTCTTCGATTTGAGGAACAGAATTAACTTTTGGTTGATTTTCCTTGAGCTTTCCTTTCCTACAATAAATAACAAACACATCAGCCAGAACTCTCGCATACAGAATAGGGAAGTAATGACATGTAATTTGTCATCCCTATTCCCAGACCAAAACCCTGAAATGCCAACCATCTCAAGAGACTGAACATAATTTTCCCCCCTTTTTTAATGTCTGAGGAAGAAATCCGTATAGAGTTGCATACTTTGATTGTTTTAATTGCGAATACTCAGCAATGATTTCGAGAGGGGGGGAAGCCCTAGGAAGATTTATTGACGACTTTGAACCCCACGGACAACAGAATAGTATGAGAGTCTGTGTTTATCTCTCTTATCCAATATAACCCTTTTGAAAAACCGAGGGATGGGAGGAACAATGAATATTCAAAATCGGAGGAAGGGATTTCGAATTCCGAAGGTTGAATTCACTGGTATCAAGTGGCCTTGGGGCGAGATAGAAATTATTTTGTCAATAAAGACCTTAATTATTAGTCGTTTCCTTTCTAACAAATTGGTTACGTTCATTGAACCGAAGATGTTGATGCCCTCCAAGTGCGTTAGCTAAGATTAGATAGCTAAACTTAAATAGGGAAGGTGTGGATCAAAGTACCAAATGATTTAGAAATCACGTTGATGAATGTGGGAAAGTGAAGGGGAAGAAATTAATGCTGGTACCTGGGTGCCCGCAATGCTTTGTGGAAGATTTAATTGGTACAGCCGTATCTAGGCAGGTGTATTGATCATTCATCTATCTACATCTATCCACCTACTGAGATACTCTCTAGTACTCATAGAAACCATTTCTACTTCTTAGACAGCATTTCCTCAATGAATGACAGCCAGCACTAGGTCACCAATACTTAACGGTATTGATGGAAAAAGTCAATTGCTAAAACTACTATATGGTACAACCTACTGTCTAGGTACTTATGCACGCCGTAGATATACTAGCACTGCTGAACGACTTTTGATTGATGTCATCTAGATCACTTATTATTAATGCATGCCTAGATAGGTAGCATATATCTACCACCGAGCCACCTATGAATTGCCCAGCAGACACTTGAATTGTGTGACTCTGTAGATCTAGCTACTAATTAAGTACTTCGCTTGTGATAAGTATATCGATAGAGAAAATTCAATTATTACTAGATTGACCGTTGCCTTACTATGTTATATCTATGTTTATTGTCAATTTAAATCAATCAACCTACTAGGTACTTATATACTTATTACTATCTATTGATGGGAGCAAGCCCCCAAACCCCCATAGCTCGCTGCGCTCGAAGGTATCTTTCCTTCCTTTCCACATAGTCTGCCTCCACGGCAGTGGCTCCCAGAGGGCCAGCGGAGCGTCATTCAGTCAATTGATGGTAAAACCCTTTTCTGAGATATCGCCCATACCTAACACTTTCTTCAACCACCTCCAGGCTGATTACCCAGAAGACCAGTCTATTAAAAGTATAAATCGTACAGTAGGCGATATGAGGCAATTGTACCTACTAAGTATTGTGCTCACCAGTGGCTGGTCATTTTGTGGATGATGCGGTAGGTCCATGTAAGTTATCATTGGTTCATACACCTTTCTATATAAAAGAAAAAAGAGGAGAGAAGGTCCAATTGCGTTTAGTAGCTCTTAAATATTAACAAGGAAATGTGAAAGTAATATTCTCATTGGCTAATATTTTTCCATTAGTCACTCCAAAGTTTACCTTCGCTCTTCACATTTTCCGAACGGAATTTGGCCTATGCCTACCTATGCCTAACCACAATACTTACTCACTAGGGAATTTGGCGGGGACGAAAGGGCAGCTTTGAATTTAGTAAATTATTTCCTTTCGCTCTCCCTCACTCCTCACTCTCTTCACACCCGCAGTCATGATTACACCAGGAAACTTTATCCACCTTCCTATTTATCAGATCGCATATCTTCGGGTTCCAATTTGGTTCTCTAAGCTCTAATCGAGACTCAATCGTTTTCCAAAACTCACGTTGCCTTCCTTCTCTTTTCATTCTACTCTTGGTTTTGGTTTGGGAAGACTGGAATTAAAAGCTTCTCATCGAAGTAGGAGGAGGACTTCAATTACGATCTCAATTCACAAATTACACATTACATACACGCTCGAGATTTACCAGAATTCTAATCTATTTCGCACATACGGAATCTCGAATTCAATATTACCTTTGTACTATTATAATCATTGGGAATGGATACTACCAGGCGTTCGTCAAGGGCTGCTCGAGGCAGTCAACCTTCTCAATCTAATTCACATCATTCTTCAGCTTCCTCGAATTCTTCTAGTCGCGCAGAGAGATCTACTCGCTCAAATAATAAAGTCGAATCTCCACGAAAGTCGACTCCAGCCGCCTCACTTTCCTCGGACTCTCCTGACGACACAATCACGGCCGAAGATAGTTCCTCGACACGTCGAAAGCGAGGTCGAGTTGATGGAGGTGATAAGATACAAAAAGGACAATTAGTTGATGAAGACACAGTCATTGGTGTAGATGAGGGAGGCGATGACGATGAAGCTGTTCGATGCATCTGCGGTTACGATGAATATCCCGGACCGCCACAACTCGAGGACGACGATAACAAGAATAATATAAAAGATGGAATTGAGGAGCCAGTCATAACAGCAGCGGATTTTACAGAAGATTTGGCGGGATTTTTTCTACAATGCGATGTTTGCAAAGTCTGGCAACACGGCGGATGTGTTGGAATTATGAACGAAGATACAAGTCCCGAAGAATACTTTTGCGAACAATGTCGTAAAGAACTTCACAGAATTCGTTCGGCGTCAAATGGGTGAGTCCTTTTTTTCGCATCAATCACATATACCCCCATTCAAGAGATTCACTCGAATTGTCAGCATCCACGCGAGACCGTGGCGCAGATCGAAGTCTCACAAGATTGATTTCTTAATTGCGCAAGAACCTTGAACAAATAATTCCAACTCAAGAAAAAATCGATGATAATTCTGACATAATGGATCGCAGACAACGCTACTCTTTATACCTACCCCTTCACCCGAATCTCTCCAGAACAACCTCTCGAGCGGCTTCATTTTCCAAAGACGGCACAAGATCACCGAAGGGTGGTAAGAATGCTCGACCCAGCTCCAGCTCTGCAAGCACAAAGAGGCGCTCAACAATGAATAGTAGAGATGCTGCGTACTTTGAAGCTGCTGAAGAAGAAGCACTTCGAAAAGCCATAGCAGCTAGTGTCGCAGATATCCCAGAAAGTATTGATGGCCGGAGTCGCAAAGCAAAAAGAAGCCGGAGCGACAGCGAAGAGTAAGTAAATGACATTCTATTAGCGCAAATTATTCTAATTACTCTTAGTAGCAAACACGATGGACCCAAAAGGCAACGGACGGACTCGGCTTCTCCTACTCCTGAAGACGATGAGAAACCACAAGAGGCACCCCACTCTCAAGCAGAATCTGAGGATAGCACAATCGTGGGAAATGGTCGATTTGGAGCAGCTAAGAAGATAAGGGGAGCAGCAGCTAAAAACCATAGAGAAAAGGAATTAAGGGAAGAACGAGAAAGGTCGAGGCTGGAAGCCGCAAATAAAAGAAAAGGTCGAGCTGAACGGCGAAGGATTGAAGGTCAGTACACTCAAGTACATTATGATGTTGCAATAACTCACAGTCGTCTAGATTCAGAACCTATTGAAGAGACACCGCCGGCGATAAAACCTCCAAGCAAGAACCCTGAGGTATCCGCGCAACCTCCAGATCCGCCCCCAGTGTCACAAACGATAGTGCCAGATACACCTCCCCCAGTTCTGCCGCCAGTTTCGCATAAGAAGGGTGGCAGACCTCCCAATCCTCGAAAGGGTAAATCGGGCAAGAATCAATACACTAGGGAAAGGGACGATAACAACGCTCAATCTCCCAATCGATCTCAATCTAGAGATATTCCACGTACAGACGATAACGTACAGACAACGACTAGCAGAGCTTCACACAATGAGAGCAAGACTAGTAAGGCAAAGACCAGCGTAGGAAGCAAAATTAGTATGGCTGAGATGAGGAAACGTGCTACAAATATCCTCGATTTTATATCACGAACTCAAATTGAATTGGCTGCAGACCCGTCAATACTTCCAAGTGGCAGTGGAGCAGAGAAATCTATTCGGGGACTGGTCGAAGAGACTCTCCCTATGATACAACTTAATGGCGCAAATGGAAAACAGGTGGCTCGAGGCGAAAGTGAAACACCAAAGGAATTTAAGGATTTAACGTGTCTGGAAATGATGGACATTCTTACTAGGCAATTAGTCAAATGGCAAAAGGAGTATGCATGAAATCTGGCGGGTCAATGAATATGGGTTTTATATTACTGGTTTTGGGGTTGGAGTTTGTATGTATATCATGGGTTTCGATTGGCTACACGGCGCCTAGAGGCATATTGATTCTATACCCTACTTCACGGCTACGTTAGTTAATGGCATTGGCATATTCTCAACTTAGATTCTGTAAGCTGATTGCAAATTGTGATGAGATGTGAGTGGTTCAGCTAATCAATCAGTCGTCTAAGGACAGTGGCTTATTGCTGCACGACTCAGGGCTTATTATTACGTGGTGTTGTTATCTAGAAGGGTCGTATCCGATCGTACATGTGATGAGTTGCTGCTGGGCTGAAGAAAAAGCAAGATTCAGCTAAGAAATACCCGCTCCTGTACAACCATACGCGGATGGCGCCGCAAAACATGGATAGAATGGGATATGATACATACCAGATTAGCAAGTGTGAACAGATTGTGTACGGACACAAAGGGAATCTCTTATACATGTATGGTCATCCTGTACTTTTAGCTGCACCTTCTTCAGTATCTTGTTGTCTTGTTGTCTTTTACGTGTTGTGTATGGGCAAATAAATACCACAGCAAATCGTCAAGATCTTATAATTTGTTAGATTCTTTTTTTTAGGATGGATCTTAAGATGGATCTTGAAGTCGAGGGAAAAGTAGCCATCGTCACTGGCGCGGGTTCAGGTACTCTCCTCCCTCTCAACCCCCACCTTATTTCTACCCTCTGACACACAATCTCCAGGTATAAATCTCGCATTCGCGACTCTCCTCCTCTCAAAAGGTTGCAATGTGGTTATAGCCGACCTCTCCCTCCAACCCGCCGCAACCCAACTCCTCACCACCTACACCTCCACTTCCCCGGATCCCTCATCCCCCAGTACCCCCACACCCCCACAATGTCTGTACCACTCCACCGATGTCACATCTTGGCCTGCACTCACCTCCCTCTTCGAATTCACCCTCTCCCATTTCCCAGCAGGAATAGACATCCTCGTCCCCGGCGCCGGACTCTTTGATCCCCTCTTCTCCAACTTCTACAATCCCCCCGGAACCCCCCTCTCCCAAGATACTCATCATCTAAGTCCCCCTCCCTCTCTCCAGCAACCCCTCGAAGAAAAACAATCAAACACCACATCTCCCAAAGTCAACCCCTTCCCCGGCTCTTTCCACACTCTCAACGTAAACATAACGCACCCAATCCGTCTCACGCAAATGGGAGTCGAGTATTGGACCTCGTCCAAAAGAAGCGGAAGAGTAATTTGTGTGGGGAGCGTAGCGGGTCAAATAGGAGTTATGGAAACTCCGCTGTATCACACGAGCAAATTTGCGATTACGGGGTTTGTGAGGAGTATGGCGGGGTTGGAAGAGTTGGGGATTAGGGTCACGGCTATTGCGCCGGCGCTTGTGCAGGTGAGGTTTACTTTTCTTTGCGTTTTCTTGCTGTTGAGAAAGGGAAGCTCTTTGCATGGAGATGCAGATGGAGATGGAGAGGAGTAGACTATACTGACTTTCCAAAGACAGCAATCTGGTCTCATCAACCCGACAAAATGACTATGTTAACCTCTGATCAAAAATGGATTCCCGCTGAGACAGTCGCAGAAGCTATGTTAGAACTGCTTACTCGAGAAGACTATGTAGGCGGGACGGTTTTAGAAGTTAGTGGGTGTGGGACTAGGGTTGTGAAGATGATTGGGGTTAGTATTATTTCTATTCGTATTATATTTTGTGATGTAGAGGGGTGGCGGGAAGGAGTGCAGGGAGAAACTGTGAGGTATGTGTGTGTGAGGACATTGAAACTGATTTGTGTGGATGTAGGATGAAGGGCCGACGTTTGAGCCGGGGTATATGATTGGGAATTTGAAGGGGTATAAGGAGGAGATTTATGAGAAATTGAGGGAGGGGAAGATGGGGATGTGAAGGGTTGTGATTTTCAGGACTTGACCAGAGATTGAAGACGACTACGATGGGATAAGGGAAGTAAATTGAGAATGTACATTTGTGGAAATTGAGACTGGCTTCAACAGCTGGCTCCTGTTACTGTACTAGGCAAGATTTCGTATTGAGTAAGTTCACGTGGGGTCGATGATAGATGAAGAAAAAAGAACTCTAATCGTTTCTGCGGTATACTACATGTGACACGAAGTCCATCGCTATGCTCAATCTAACAAACACGCTCCCTCTTTAAGCACTAAAACCACTATATTCTTTGTTGAAAGCTCTTCCTATTACCACTTTTCTGACTTCGGTAGTTCCAGCACCAATTTCATAGAGCTTTGCATCACGCAGTAATCTCGAAGCAGGCATTTCCTCAACATAGCCCATGCCACCTAACAATTGTATACAATCTAATGAGACTTCTGTGGCTCGCTCAGCAGCATACATAATAGCCCCAGCACAGTCTTGTGTTCTGATATTGCCGGTTTCATCAACAGTCCTTGCTGTATCATATGTATAAGCTCTTGAGGCTTGCAGCTTTGTATACATATCTGCAAGTTTTCCTTGAACGAGCTGGTTATGTGCGATAGGTTGGCCGAATTGTTTGCGTTGATGTGTGAATGGAAGTGCAACATCCAAGGCAGCTTGCATAATACCTAATGGCCCAGCACTTAACACTAATCTCTCAATGTCAAGTCCTTCCATCAGTACCTTGACTCCTCTATTGACCTCGCCCAGGATATTTTCTTCTGGAACAAATACCCCCTCGAAAACTAACTCCCCAGTATTACTTCCTCTCATACCCATCTTGTCTAATTTTCTCGCGCAACTGAATCCCTTGAATCCTTTTTCGACTAAGAAAGCGGTAATTCCCTTTGAGCCCTTTTCAGGCTCAGTCTTTGCATAAACCACAATAAGATCCGCATCTGGTCCATTGGTAATCCACATCTTCGTTCCATCCAACACATAGCCACCATCTACTTTCTTCGCTGTCGTCCTCATACTGACAACGTCACTCCCTGCACCACTCTCGCTCATAGCCAATGCACCAATCTTACTCCCATCAATCAGCCCCGGCATATACTTCATCTTCTGGTCCTGATTACCATTCAATTGTAATTGATTCACACACAATTGTGAATGTGCAGCATAACTCAATCCAATACTACCCGAGGCACGAGATATTTCTTCCATCACAATACAATGTGCTTGGTAACCCATGGCCAGTCCACCCACATCTTCGGAAGCAGTTATACCAAGGAACCCTGCATCGCCGAATTTTTGCCACATGGAATTGGGAAATGCATTTGATTTATCGGTTTCAGCTGCGAGCGTTTCAGGGATTTCTCGTCGTGTAAATTCTTGGACTCGTTCGCGGAGCTCGATCAAATCAGAGGAGGTTGGTGGCTCGAAACCAGCGGGATGCTTGGATGATGCATTACGTCGACGGACTGTGGATATAGGAACTGAAGGCTTGATGTGGAGATGAGATATAGGTCTAGTGGTGAGAGATCGAAGACATTTTATTGAAGAAGCCATTTTTGTTCTGTGGAAATGTTGTAAGAATTGAGAGAGTTTGTTTTCTACATTGTTTTAGGTTTTGTAGATGTACACAATAATTGTAAACCCTTCCTAGCTAGCTTGGACCGTGGTTTTCCGGGGAAACGCGGGGCCGCATCTAGCCGTCGAGCCTATTCCCGCTTCGTCTATTGAGATCTTGTCTCAAAACAAGTGTTTAAATGTCCATGTGAATATCTCAATTTTTTGCTGTCACTACAGCATAACTTCTATCACAATGGCTTCACTCAGAGCATCTAGAATTCTACCCAATATCTCTAGGAAATCCCTACGACCAATATATCATAAAGCAACCTCCATTCCTTTTCGAACAACTGCTACTTATTGTCCTCCAACCCAAGCAAAAGCCATCTCCGTCCTTCCGACAAATATCGATACCTCTTCAGAGGAATATACTCAAAATGAGTCTCAAATGAAACCTCTTCTCGATCACCTCTCTACTCTCACCGCCAAAATACATCAAGGTGGTCCTCCCAAAGCACGTGAAAAGCATATTGCACGCAAAAAGATGCTTCCTAGAGATCGTATCACTGCACTCATAGATCCAGGTACTTCATTCTTGGAATTGAGTGCATTGGCAGGTCATGAGCTTTATCCTGAGGCGGATGTACCCGCTGGTGGGATTATCACGGGGGTGGGTGTCATTGAGGGAGTAACGTGTATGGTGGTTGCAAATGATAGTACCGTGAAAGGAGGAACATATTATCCAATTACTGTGAAGAAACATTTGAGAGCACAAGAGATTGCGAAGGAAAACAATTTACCGTGAGTTTTTGTTTAATTGATGTACACGTTTTTCAGATACTGATACTATACAGTTGTGTCTATCTGGTAGATTCGGGTGGAGCCAATCTTCCACATCAGGCAGATGTCTTCCCAGATCGAGAGCATTTTGGTCGAATTTTCTTCAATCAAGCAAGAATGAGTTCAATGGGAATCCCGCAAATAGCTGTAGTCATGGGTCCTTGCACAGCAGGTGGTGCTTATGTTCCCGCCATGTCTGATGAGAGTATCATCGTAGGTGAACAAGGTCACATTTTCCTAGCTGGTCCACCTCTAGTAAAAGCCGCAACTGGAGAAGTTGTAACAGCTGAAGAACTAGGAGGTGGAAATATGCACAGCTCCGTGTCTGGAGTAACAGATTATCTTGCCGTCGATGATGCTCACGCCATAGTCCTTGCCCGCCGATCCGTTAGCAATCTTAATTGGCCCACCAAACCATTTCCACCTTCAGAATCCTACACAGAACCCCTCTATTCTCCCGAAGAACTTACTGGAATTGCTACAACTAATCACCGCAAGCCTCTTCCCATCCATGAGGTTATCGCCCGTATTGTAGATGGAAGCGTCTTTTCCGAATTTAAACGCGACTATGGCTCCACTCTCGTGACAGGTTTTGCCCATATCTACGGTCATAAAGTCGGTATCATAGCCAATAACGGTATTCTCTTCTCTGCCTCCTCCCTCAAAGGCGCCCATTTCATTGAGCTCTGCACTCAACGCAAAATCCCTCTCATTTTCCTACAAAATATCAGTGGATTCATGGTAGGCACTGATGCTGAACGCGAGGGTATTGCGAAAAATGGTGCAAAATTAGTTACCGCAGTTGCCTGTGCCAATGTACCCAAGTTTACCGTTGTGGTCGGTGCCAGTAATGGTGCTGGTAATTATGGTATGTGTGGTCGGGCATACAGTCCTCGATTCTTATGGATGTGGCCTAATGCACGGATTGGAGTGATGGGAAGTGAACAATTGACGGCTGTCATGGAGACTGTTGGAAAAGCTGTTGATCCAGAGCTCAGAGATAGAATTGATAGAGAGAGTGAGGCGGTTTTCTCAAGTGCTAGATTATGGGTATGTTGTCTTCCGTAAACGAAATGGAATTGAGGTGACTAACAGAGTATCTAGGATGATGGAGTTATTCCACCAAGTCACACGAGAAGAGTTTTAGGTTTGAGTTTGATGGCTGCGTTGGGCGGGAAGAATGAACCGGTAGATACCAAATTCGGCGTCTTCAGAATGTAAAATAGTACTTCGGGATGATAAATTATATATGACTTATATATTCTTACTCTAGGTTAGACTATGCTTTTAGGGTCCAGAATATATACTAAAGTTACACGCATAGTTTCTATTTTTAAAAGGACAAAGACCAGCTACCTGTGGATGTCACAAATACCTACTTGTCAATAATCTCAGGTATGCCATGTAATTTGATTGAACTTGGCTTTATTCTGCGAACCCATCAATCACTATTCAAGCTTTGAAGGACTTTTCTTATATTCCTTCATTTTGCCCAAAGTATCATTTATTTCTAATTTCAATTGTACGAGAATTTCAGTATGGTTCTAACACAACTGTCACACAAGAGCCAAATTAGCACGTTCCAATTGATACCCAAGAACCTAAAACTAGAATTCGAAGAACTCTGATGAGTCCAAGGGCCTTTTACTAGCTATGTCTACGTGATAGGCTCAACATACGAGCCTACATATTCAAATGATAACAAGCAGGCTGTTGACTAACCGGATTCGTGAATATATAGTAAAACGTGCTGATCTAAGTGTCTCAACTAGTATTTATGCTCGATTCCAATTCCAAACTCCGATATTTTCGAAGAAAGTATTATATGACAATAGCGAATTAAGTTTATTTAGTCTATTTCACTTTCAAGTTTATATCGGATTAGTAAAAAAGATTGATGTATTGATTTTGCACAAAAATCTGGTATTGATAGATACAAAATTGTCAAATTGGGAAACTATTCTGGTACACCCCAGTTTCCGTTATATCCTCGTTAGGTATAGTCAAGTTTTATTGTAATATCTTTCAAATCCATATAGTATTACTGGTAAAAGCTATTGGGGTTCAAAGTTCCGCTATTAAAGTGTGCTTACAGAATTCATGCACCTATTGCTTGCTCAAATACATACAAGGTTAGGTCCCTCCCTGTATGTTATCTACATGAGCAAATCAATGATTACTTCTCACATCATCCTGTACCTAACTGATCAATACCCACATGCTGACTGGATCTACAGCATTCTTGTTACATTCATCTAATATTCTATTAAATGTATAAGAACGTTAATCTTGTTGTAAGTTCAAGAGTTTGTCAATAATTTCCATTGAATATATTTCTAGTAATCCTCTCATCTTCTAACACAGAAGGAGAACTACTTCAGGATCTGATATTAAAAGGCAGCAAGGTCCACATTATCACTAAAAATCGAATGATAGCCTTGAACGACTGCGTTCATCTCTTTTGATATATTCAGTCATGTATCACAGTTGCTTTATCTGTGGTGTGTTCTTAGCTCATGAAAATGGACATTTTCATGAATGGTGTAAAAATATTCGTGCTCGTAAGTTACATTGCAAACGAAAGAAGTGAGATGGTAACATCAGCTGTGTTATAGTCTGTTTCTTTGAGGGTCGACTAGTCCTCAGTGGCCAAGGTCATAGAGTTCGTGGCGAAACCCCTTTCTCAGTCCCTGTTCTTGGAGTCACTCGACTCTTTACTGGACCAAGGTTAGATAAAAAAGATGGCACTTGCTACCCATTTCACGCCGCTTGTTGGGCAATAATCGAAGAGATAGCTCCAAGAAACTTTCTTGTCGACAACGGCATCGAAACCCTGTTCAAGATATTTGAAGGCTGCCATTACAATACCCATACTGGCATCTTAAGCTGGGGGCACAACTATTATTTCGAGGATATCTTGGGGGCTTTAGACAAACAAGAACGAAGTCTAATCCAACACCCAATAGCTGACTACCCGCGTGTGAATCAAGGGAGGTCGCGTGCTATCCCTATTCCTCAACCAGATCCATACCAGAAAATCAATATCGTTAGGCTACGCTTCCGTTTAGCTAGCTGTTACACTTCGTGGTTCTCACAGGATCCGACATCTCTCAGCTTTGAACATCTTATATCCACCCCCTCCGTCTTGGATAAACGGCCAGAAGATGAACACCAAGCGCATTATCAGTCAAACTTGGTTCCAAATCATGCAGACAACTCGACTACCCTAGCAGAAAGTCCACCTCTTGACTTGCAAAAAGACGTCCCATTCCCTCCTAGTTCTAGACTTTCATCGTTACCGAATGAAATAATCCATTCTATTATGTACGAACTCTCATATAGCGATACCTTAAATTTGCTACAAGCTTATAAACGAGATATTCATTCTTTGCCATCAATATTTTGGGAGGCTAGATTTCGAGTCCAGAGCGAATTCGGCTTCGCACGAGTGCTGTGTTTGCCTAATTATACTTGGAAAGAATGGTTTTTCGAAGTCAAATCTGAGATGAGCTCTGATCATGGGATGGGGCTCGTAAACCGCAAGCGAATTTGGAAACTAGGGACTGAGATGGTCAGCCTGATGCAAGCCATTCAAGAGCCTGGACGATTCTTGCATGGTGACATTGTCACAAATGGCCCAAGTCAACGGCACTACTCTAGTGTGAGTTGTTTGGCGTTGAAAAAGGACATGAAGGGATGTAAAGAAGTCACACAGAGGTCTGTAAATTGGGGAGGGACGCACGTAATATCACAACTTTGTACTGTGACACCATCGTATGTGGATATTCTGGAGCGGCGACTGGTCTCGGGCCTCACATTTGAATTTCGCGATGGCCAGTCTAAGAACATAGGCTACATTGTGGGGCAACGTAATCACTTGGTAGCTTCAACTTCACCTAAGATTCTATGGTTGGTTGCTAGTTCGCTGGGCGTTGAGAAAATTACAATCAACACCTATCCGCATTCGTTTCTCGATAGCGTAGATGAGCTTGCAGTGAGCAAGTGGAGCCTAGAAAATCTTATGGGTATTTCTGTTGGTCTTGATGTAAGATAAGTACACAATCCTGATATATACCAGTCAGTTAATATCTATAGGCTCTTCGAATTGTTAGAATTTGGCCAAACTTTAAAAAACAAGAAACTGGTCTCGATAGCGTTCTCTGGACACATCCATACCCGTCAACCATACCTTCGATGCTGGACGATGACATTATCGCTCTGCACGATTTACAAAACAATTCGTTTGCCCCAGCATCAGCCCTATATATCAAACCAGAGAATGGCAATCTTGTCGCAATTAAAGTATATTCTCCGCTAGGGTTCTGCGCTGGTATCAGGGGTATCGAATTTACCTATAATACAGGTATACGAAGCACGTGGGGCTCTGACTATGATACTGCTTCACTGTCGTTTTTCCTTCATGACTCTGAACATCTTGTCAAAATTAAGGTCTATAAGATCAACTCTGTAGTCTACCATTTGCAAGTAAGTATATCTAAAAATGTGTAGTGAGTACATGCTTAGCCAGAAGTTTAGTTCATCACCGATCTAAATCGGACAAGCGAATTCATGCCACCAGCACCAATGAAGTCAGGAGTTTCTTTCGATGGTGTTGAATATAGTGCTTTGGACAACGGACATATAGTTGGTCTTTGTGGTTGTTTTATAGTATGTTGGTCATCCAAAGAATACTGACCATTAGCTAATTCTGGTTGCAGAAATCCGAGCAGCAGTTAAACTGTCTTGGGATTATATCATCCACAACTGTGGCGTCTTCGAAATCAATTTGGGTCTCCTCAGCGGATCAAAATGGCTCTGGAGACTTATCTCGAGAAGAGACTCTCGGAGGTGGCGAGAACCATGGCGAGTTTGGACGTCGATTGCTACTAGACAAGAGGCTTCAATCAATTCAAGTTTCCAAGACCACAGTTTCGACAAGATACTGTCACCCCAACCAAGTCACCGGTCTTCTTTTTCGTTCAGTGGATGACAGCTATCCTGAGCTACTCGGACAATTGACTGAAATGGGCGAAACATATTATTTTGAAGTGAATGAGTGGATCATCGACTTGGAAATTATTACAATTAAACCATTTGTGTTCGCCGGGTGGAATCATGGGCTATCACAAGTCAAAAGGATAATCATCGTTACGAATCAAAGGAGGTTCGAGTTGGGACCCGAGATTGTACAAACTGCTCATGATATCTCGAATACACAATTGCACAAGCGAAGAGTATCAGAGATCACTTGGGAATTTAACGCCATGTACGATCGCGTACGATGGACTTATCAAGAAGATTAAATAAGGCGAATTGATCAATGTATTAATGTATCTATTCATCATCGATGTCTAAATCTTCTCTGGTAATCTTACGGGGCTCACTTTTCCCAACCTTACTTTGTCAGTGCCGTACGCCCATACACCCTCTAGACGGGTATCGTAGGTAACATTATCATTCTCATTTTTATTCTCACTGAAACACTAAGTCCATAGGTATCGTCAATACGATTATGAGCATTGAGAGTAGATGTCCTATAAAACAGTTTAATGCTGAATGTCTTGTTAAGCGTTCAGCCGGTAAGCCGGCCGATGAACAATGAATGTCAGCTGGCCTCCGCGGAGTATGTTCTCATACATTGTTTGTCAAAGCTGCGACAGTAGATACTTCGCTACCGTAATGGAGGAGAACAATCTATCTCCCGACAAACTTTCTACGGGTAAGATGAAGGAGCTTGTCGTACTCTTGGTAACTATTCAAAGATACACAGACGCCTTCCCTTGAAATTTTAAGTGAGTAGTCTAGGCAGAAGGCGATACTAGCACTCATGAGTAAGAATAGCGAAAGCGTTCGAGATGCTATCTGGGTAAAAGGCCATATTGTATGATCTGATAATTTCGAAGCATCAATGAAGGATTTTTAATGGAATCGTCTCAAACTTATAAATTCCAACATGATTATCGCCTATTACCTACTAGGATAAGCAATTTGATATTTTTTGGCGGCCTGACATTGCCTTCGGTGCCCCCGTCGGTACGTTTCATTCAGTGTTGTGTTGGTGTTTGGAGACCTAAATCCTTCGGTTGCGACCACAGGAAGAAATTCAGAGTAACCTTAAGTGTAAGCCCGAACTGTGCCGTCGCAATACTATCAAAAATCTATTTGTTGACACTGATCATCTATTAACCGGCCATGATTGTCTGCAAGAGCCTCATTCGATGCCACCATCTCAAAATATCTGGGTTGACTAAACTCAAACTATGCCCTGAAAACTGCCGACTCAAAGGCATTAGAGATGAATTCAATGACTGGTAAAATCCAATGAGAATGGGAATGAGTTTCTCCATGAATTTCAGATAAGAAAGCGCCAGTGTGAGAACTAATGGGGGGAGTCATGGGATATAGCATCCTAACGATATTACATCAGAAAAGCATAAACCCATCCCTATGAAAAACAATCAATGCAAATCGAATACCTCATAGGCTTCGATCGTGACCGTGGCTAGGAAAGTTCCAGAGCCGCGCGAGACATAATTCGTTCTAGAAATGAAATGAACAAAACAATGAAACAATACTCTTCGGGGAGAAATCCTTCGTCGGTTTGCAACTTCCTTTTTAGTGAAGGATTTCTAAGTGAAGCGAACATGCTTCAACATTACTTTCTGGGATTTTAGATGTTTGAACAAAGACAAGGTTTATGTTATGTCATGTTGGGGGCGGGGCCCGCCTCAAATTGTGACCGCAGAGGGCGCCTAGCAATTGTTGGAATAGTATTCCGTCAATGTCGTATGTAGTAATTTCTCTGACATATGTGTTAGGGGGAAAGCTTCTTTTCACAGAGTAACGGCACGGTTCAGATGCAGGTACAAGTGTTACTGTTACAAGCTTCGTGGCTCAGTCGTTTGATCCTCCTGCTTTCCTGCTATCATCGTTCTCGAATTAAAAAATCTATAAATCTGAAGATCCCCATACCTGCGATGAAGCCTTTACCTATACAATCCACAGCCATCAAGGAATACTATTGACTAGTTTCAATCGAACCACTTTTTATTAGCCAAAGTTCACATTCCACAAGCTCAATACAAAACCAACCATGCAATTTCCAAGCACCATCACATTCATCTCACTCCTCGCTACCACAGCATTTGCTGATCTCGGATCAGTCATCGCTGATGGAACATCCATTGGGGGAAAGGCTTCTGGCGCCGTAAATACTATCACATCAGACTATGCCCAAGCTCAGGCTACTCAAGACGCCCTTTCCACAGCAATATCCTCTCTATCCTCTGTCACTTCAATGGAGGCCACAGCCACCGGCTCGGCACTATCTTCCCTCTCGTCTGAAGCATCCTCACTCTCTGAAGCCGTCTCTTCGATCTCCAAATCGCTTTCCAAGTCCATCTCTCAAGCTTCTACATCTAACGCCGCATCATTGAGCTCCCAATCTAAGATTGCGACGTCTGCCCAAGCTCAGGCTACGAGTATCAGCGCTGAGATCAGTAGTTTGGAAAGCATGGCAAGTACGGCTACAGGGAAGGCCCAAACGGAGGCTTTGGAGAGCGCTAGTAGCTTAAGCTCGAAATTTGCAAGCGCCAGTAGTGTCGCTAGTGCCGCGGCTAGTGCTACTGCGGCTTCTGGAGATTCTCCAGAGAAGTATGTCCCAGTTTGGGGAGCTATGGTTGTTGGAGCTATGGGATTGTTGATCTAGAGTTTGGGATTTTCTGTGAGATGTTGAGGGTGTTTTAGACAGTGCGGTTGTAATATATCCTGGGGTTTGTGAACAAGAGGATCAAATATATGCGAAGTCCCTCTTGAAGGCTCTATCAATTTAATTTTTCTATGGTTATTTGTCCTTCTTTTTTGTTTGGCTTTTTGATTATATGGTTGTTGTGAGAAATATGTTGCGCTGATACCAGCTGGGAGAGTTAGTCCTCTCAACCTCGCTCACTCTCCACAGATTGTTAGCTACATACAATACGTAATAATAATACAAAAAATTGCACCTTTGACAATCATATCGAGATTACATCGAAGCATTCTACAGCTAGGAGCTTCTTACTCGATCACAATTCAAGAATATAGTGTTGTGAGTTCTACACAAAATCCTACTCAAGGATTTGTTACCAAAGGTAATTAGGAACGCCAGAAAACTTGCATAAGTTGCTTTGACAACTCCCTCACAGAAAAAAGAAGAAGAAGAAGAAGAAGAAGAAGAAGAAGAAGAAGAAGAAGAAGAAGAAGAAGAAGAAGAAGAAGAAGAAGAAGAAGAAGAAGAAGAAGAAGAAGAAGAAGAAGAAGAAGAGATAACGACGAGATCGCGAAGTTGCTACTGCTCGATTGCTCCAGGCCGAGATGGCACCAAAAGCTGCTCACTCAAACTGCATTGCTTGTTTCTTCGTCTGAATCAGTCTTGTTCGGTAACATTAAGCAGCTTACTCCTCAAGCTTCTTTCCTTCAAGGCTCTCAACATCTATCTTGTAAGATATCTCAGGATATTATCATGTCTTGCTTCATCGGTAACTACTGGTCAAGCACAAACCTGTACATCCAGTGTAGAGAATGTCCTGAGATCATGGAGGTAGCTTCTAAATTAATCTACCGCACAACTTTGTGTTCGCAGATACACAATTTCTTAGTTGGCTAGTCATTACCCTGAATTTGCTTTCTCTAAAGTCATGTCCGCATCCAAACACCAGAATTCACCAACAACCCTGGTAGAAATTGTGTTACACTTATTAGAGCTTGCTCTTTCGGGATCATCACTACAAATACACCACAACTAAAGAATGGTGGTAGAAGGTCAAGGCTTGTGTAACCATCACTAAGTCTATGGATGCTCCCCGTCTATGAAGTTGATAGAGATAGTGGAATTTGCCGAACTAGCTGGCTCAGGACTGTGGGGTTTCGTGAACCCGAGGAAGAGTTGTACGGAGTAGGTCACCGGAAAATCACTTAGATCTAAAAAAGAGCTCACCAAAAGATACCAAAAAGCAATCAGGTTCTAGAACAATGCAACGCACGTGCCCAATATTGATTTGAACGTCGGGATTGTTTTGGATGTCTGAATGGACTCGGATATCTGAATTTACATGTATCCCAGAGCTAGAGCATGAGCATTGAGACCCATAACGATAAAGCTTCATGAATCTTCCCATAGCATTTAAGATTTACTATGTAGGATTATGATTTATTTACACTCCATTGTGCAACCGGGGCATGGTTTGGCGGTTCTCAGTATCGAGTTGGCATATACGCAAGCTTGACATTTATTACCAAATTTGCTAATCAGAATCATTCAAAACTCACTATTCTCAATAATCAATATCATCTCAATTAGAGATAGATTCGAAGATATCCGATATAATGATCAATAGATAATCAACTTCAGCAATACGCAATTACTTTTGATCAATTTTATTCAACATGTATGAAAGATTATCTTTGATATACAGACTTCCAGAATAATTCTTGTGCAATTTGAAATTCGACCCAGCCCCTTCAAAAGCAAGTCTGAGAACATGAGTTTTAGATCATAGATTGCAATCAACGATTGGGGAAAAAGTTCATAAAAAGGGTTGAAGCCCCAAAGATATGTATTTTTATTCGTGAAAAGATATATGTTATACAATTAATCAACGCCGTATCAAAACACCCTTAGCATTTCCGAACATAACACATTCAATTCCTCTCGCTCATTATATCCGCCATCAATTTACAACAAGTATAAAGCCGCACCCAAAATAGCTCCTCCAGCCATTGGAACTTGGGTTCTCATAGCTCCTGAGCTAGAAGTAGCGCTGGCGGCACTGTTAGTGGCGGAACTAAGAGCACTGCTAGCTTTGCTAGTGGCACTCTTCACTTCAGAACTGGCGCTAGCGACGTCGCTGCTGATACTGCTCATTGCCGCGCTGATCGAACTCTTAACGGCACTGTCGGTGGCAGTCTGGGCGACGGAGCTCAAGCTAGAAATTTCGCTGCTAGCTTCACTCTTGATGCTCGAGTATCGGGAGGCGGCAGCAGAGGTAGCTGTGGAAAATGCGCCAACAGCATCAGAGGTAGCTGTAGAGAAGGCTCCAGCGGCCCCGGAAGTTGCGGTGCTAAATGCGCCAGCAGCTCCTGATGTAACAGTAGAAACGACACCACCGGCGCCTGAGGTAATAGTTGAAACGACACCACCAGCCCCTGAAGTTACCGTTGAGAAAGCGCCAGCTGCTCCTGAGGTGACGGTCGAGAAGACGCCTCCAGCACCAGAAGTGACAGTATCAACGGCTCCACCAATGGCAGATGTAGCTGTGTCAACTGCTCCGCCGATATCTGAGGTTATTGAGTTGACGATGCTACCAAGATCTTGGGCCGAGGCACCGAGGGAAAGGAGGGCGATAACTGGGAGAACTTGAACACGCATGATGAAGGTATTGATTTTAATATTATCGAAGATCGAAGAGTTGAGAGAATAATAGGTAGATGTAGTGAATATCGAGAAGGAGAAACGTTCAAATATATCGATTCGTGAATGATTCGTTAGCGATTAGTAGAACAGGAGAAAATTAAGAAAGGAGAGTATATGCGGTGAAGCTTATATACATGTCGGTACTCTGTTTCCTACCTAGTAAAGCATTGTCACCTATAGGATCCCCATGCGAAAGAGATGATCAAAATCTCGTATAACCGCAAAAGAAAATGCGAATTTCCTGGAAACATGCGGTAGTTCCTCTCCGATATTCCGTGCATAAACTTACATGACGTTGAAAAAGGGGTATGCTAACTTTAAAGAGACTAGTACTTGCATGGATACTGTGGCTTGGCTCGCTTAGGTAATTGAAATTCGCAGTAACTAACCAATTTTCTCCCGTTTCACTGTGGCTCGGCAGTCATGGGGCGAAATTGGATACCAAAATTTTGTTGACCTTGATTCACTTCGAAGTTCGGTGACATTCCGAGGTTAATCCAAGGTTTTCCCCTTGAAATATGTGCTGTCACCAAGATCAGGAAGTTGCGTGTCATCTATAAATATCTTCATTGCTGTCAGTCACAAGATTAGTTTAGGCTTTTATGTAACCTTTCTACAGAATACACCGTAAAGACCGAGTAGTGAGTGATGTTGAGGCTGAGGTAGATTTCGTTAGAGGGTATTCTTGGGACGAGGCTTTTCATACCCCGTACTTTTTAGCAATCGTTTTGCAGATCAATTACCTAGTGAAGTGAAATCAAGGCCAAGATGGGCATAATTCTAGAATGGTCCGTAGGGAGATGTTTTGGGAACGAGGGAGGCTCTTCAGGATTTATAGCAACGTTTTTGCAAAAAAAAAATAGGCTGAGTAGATGTATGTTCCTGAACAATTCAATCATTGAAAAGCAATTTTTGGACGAATGACTTCCAAGTGTCAAGTGTTTTGTATTGTTTATCATTAATTGTTTTTTATATAGCTACCTAAGCTTAGCTAGCTAGAGAGATCCATCACGAATTACCTAAGCATACGTAGGCCAAACTGGGGAAGACCATGAAGCACCAGCAGCGATGAGCTGAGTGTCCATTGCTTCGGCTCCAGCACCAATGAACAAAAATTTGGAGAAGTGGACGGTACTGTAGTACTTGTATGTTGTGTTTCCAGGAATGAAGACAACATCGCCTTGAATAAGCGATAATGTCTCACCTTCCATCTCAACAGTTAACATACCCTCAAGAACCTCAAAAGCCGCATGGCCGGTATATGATGATGTTGGGATGGTGACGTTGGACAACTTGCGGGCAAGGGTAATGGTCGACAAAGAGAATGCGTCCTCGGATTGTACTGGAGTAACGAATGGTTGGATGATTTGGTATCCAGCGGCATCGTTAATGTATTGTGGTCCAAAGTCCTTGGCGACGTAGTATGGAGAGCCTTGAGCGCCAAGAGCGTTGGCTCCAGTGTGCCAGGTACTGTTTAATGGAGCAGTACCGTTAATCGCATCAGTACGAGGAACGAAGTCAAGCTCGGCATAGACATCGAAACTTTCAAGAGAGCTAATGACTGAGGCGGGAGGAGAGCTACTGCCATTGACGACGAGGAGAGGATCGTAAGGAGGTTGGGTTTCCGAGGAGGCTAAGGTCCAGTTGGAATCGGCGAGGGCATAAAACAAGTCCCTAAAATATTGTTAGTCTCCTGTCCAGTTGCAACTATAGCTTGTTATGCCTGGGTAACCTACTCAAATCCTCCAGGTGAGATAATTCCGACCATCTCAGTGTCGGGATCCAAAATTTGGAAAGTATGGGTTGTGTTGATTGGTACACTTCCGTAATCTCCTTGTGTCAAGAGTCTTGTCTCAGAATCACCATCCTTTTCAGTCCAAAGCTGGAAGCGACCTTTGAGATTGAAGAAATTCTCATAATGCTTTTGATGAATGTGAGGAAGAACTCCTAAATCGGTCGAAGGTGGTGCGTTTGTTGCGAGAAGGGAGAAAGCACCTCCAGACGATGGTCCAGTAACTGGGAATCGATAGAGTTGGCTTCCAACCACACAGCCAGATGCATCATAATGGGCAATTGCGTAGGGACGGACATAGTTAGGCACCTCTGTTACCCAGACTGAACTGTTATCGCGGGCAGTAATGCGAGCGGACACGAGTCCAGCAGTAAGAACTGAAGAGGCCAAAGTAGAGGTGCGCATGATGAAGATGATGAAAAGAATGTAGAATTGAGGTGAAGGAAAAAAGAGGAAGATCTCTCAGGAACTTGCATGATGTATATATGGGAAAAAGAACCAGATCCACCCTTCCACTATTACTCGGTCCTCATATACCCATCTAAGAGACATTGCCGATGCAAATAACTGCAACGGCGCACATACTAGAAAAGCAGTGGAAGGATCTTCAAGGGTACTGGCACGACTCAGATGGGATTGACCCCTACATAGTCCACTTTGTACATAACGGGGCATTGAATGATGTATATAGGGTTGTAGATACCGTAGTGATAACGTGATTGCAATGTCCGCTCAAATGATGAGATGATTGAACTTACTATGGCTCTCTCGTTGTTTCGAAACATTATGTGTTTGTAGCGTTTGTCCATTCACACCTTCCGAATGTGAGTATGAATTTAATTTTGAAGGTATAGCATGTTATCGGTCACCTATGTCACTGAATTTCTGTGCAATTTTCTTAGCAAGCATGAGATTCGTCCCCTCAAAGCAATGCTCGCCATCCGTCCACCTCAGATCGATTAGATTACGAAAAGGGTCGGTCCTTAAATACTACCTTCCATTACAAGCATATCGGACCTGCAAACACGACCCAACTAGTCCACACAAACTTTCGCACTAACATGGCCACTCCGTGAAGATATGAATGGTCACTCTGGTTTTTCGTGACGGCAGCAGTACCGGTACATCTAAATTCAAGGTTTGTGGGCGTTCGGTATTCAAACCGTAGTACGTACGTTAGTAGCATTCTGGTCTGGTCAGGCTGGAGGTGGAAGGGTGGTAGCCGTAATTACACATGCAGATCGGATGGAGAAAATGAAGAAACACAGTAGTGGACGGGCGGAGAACTGAAACATCCGTCCAGTAATAATTGTACGCTTGACTCGAGGCACGTTATCGAACGGAGGTACGGAGTAGAGTAGATGAATAAACTTTGTCTCACCGTTCGAGATAGCAAGAAACAATTTGTCTGGACAGAATGATCCAATTGGCGACGAAACAGAGACAGACATGTTAGCTTAGAAATGGGAAAACATCTTCGTACCAGTACCTCCAGTACCTCCAGTACCTCCAGTACCTCCAGTACCTGCATAAGTTATTAGTTCGTTAGTGCATGCAGCTCGGATAGAAACAAAGAAGCAAATTGAAACCAAGTTTAATCAATCATCCCATCCGTCAACAATTCTTCAACAACCAAGTGGACGGATAAACAACCTAAACATTTCAAAAGTCCGTCCGATTAGTGTCCCACCCAGACTCCAAGAACTGGAGTAGATCGGGCCCCGGTAGTGGACGAGTGGATATATCCAAGATCCGAAAGCTACAGTAACTGGAGAAGTTCCTATAAAGACGAGAGGGGATGACATACCTGATGGTGGACGGACAAGGGATGAACTCTGGCCAATAATCGGCCCGGCCTTCTGTTTTTACGGCCTTCGGGTTTGTACTTTTATCCGATTAGATAAGCTAAGCTCTCGAAAAAGTGAACTTGTGTTGGAAGTAGGTAAAGATGAGTGTACAAGAAAGGAATCTAGATGATCAGAATGAAATATATTCATGTTTGCACTTTCTACCTGATCTACGCTGACTAAAGATATACCAAAGGTATCCAAATACCGTATCCAACACCAAATGCTATGCTATGCTCAAAATGCTTTACAGCCAATTGCTCGCTTTACAACCCAATGAACCCAACCAGTTCTTAATCCAACGCCTGCGGGCATCTTCTCACTTCCAATGTTCTATATCCGTTTCCTTTTCTCTTCCTTATGTGATTGCTGCCCTCTTCTCTTGTTCAAAAACTTGCAATATCCAAAACTCGATTCTTCCGTCATCCGCCAACTGTCCCACACTTTGTACACACCAACTTTTGAGCTCTGCTCACACCCACCCCAACCTTCTTAGCCCTGAAGTCCTTCCCTCCACATTTCTTACATGCGAGCATCTGATCACTGCCATCACTGACTTCTCCTTCTACCTCTTGATCCTCATCTGTCAGATCAGAATTTGCATCACTGCTTAATCCAGAGTTGATGCTGTTTCCACGAGATGAAGTGCCTGGTCGAAGAAGCTCTGGACCAAACTTGTTACCATTTTGGTCCGCATTTGAGTTGTTTTTCCAATTTGCTGGGTTCCAAAATTGGTAGGATCTTCCTGTAGGGTCTATTTTATAGATACTAGAGTTGCTATCTCCGTTTGGAGGAGGTGATGCAGGGTTGAGTGTGAAGGACGGAGTGGGCGGTTGACTTGGGAGAGCCTGGTGCGATTGAGTTTTGAAGATTGATTGAGGGGGGCTACTTGTAGCAATGGAAGGTGGCCGATGACCGCCACTTATAGTTGTTGTAGTTGAAGGCACAACAATACCATATTGCAGTTGACGAGTTGCGCTTGCAAGGTTTGCCGGGGAAGATGGCGAGTAAGGAGCGCGAGTGAATTTACCAGGTGATATGCTACGGTCACTGCGATTGCTAAAGGGGGGAGGTTTGGTGTGAGAACTGGAGGTCTTAGGTCTATCGTTAGAAATTGACTTGCGCCAGTCGAGGATGTGATTGTCACTTTGCGTAACTGGCCCTGAAATGGAACTCTGAGAGATCGAGGTTCGGCGAGACTGGGAACCACCACTTTGACGTGTCATAATGCTGCTGCTTCGAGCGAGCATCTTTTTGGAAAATTGAGATGAAGTTTCCCATTGGTCATTACGTCTTTTCTGATAAGCGCAATCTTG